CAAACCAACACTATAATGGGTACTGAAAGATATTCTAGACAGATATAAAGTGATCACAATTCCAAGAACAATGACAGAAAGAAATCACCAAGGATGACAAGCAATCAGAGGAGAAAAGTAGAGCACCAACAACAGGAATATAATATGACAAAGACAAGCCAATATATATCAGTTATAACCATCAATGTAAATGGCCTCAATTCACCAATCAAAAGAAACAGACTGGTAGAATGGATCAAGAAACAGGATCCAACAACATGCTGTATACAAGAAACATGCTTAACTAAAAAAGAAATTTGTAGACTAATCAAAAAATGTAAAACAATACTCCATGCAACAAGAAATCAGAAAAAAAAAAGTAGGGGTAGCTATTGTGTTTATAGACAATGTGAACCTCAAATCAAAAGTGATCAAAAGAGATAACGAAAGTCACTACATACTTGTTGGGGGAAAACTTCGAGAGGATAAGATAACAATCACAAATATGTATGCACCAAATATAGTACCATCAAAACATATAAGACAAATATTAATAGACATGAAAACTCAAATGAGTAACAATGCAACTGTAATGTGGAAAATTAATACCCCACTGTTACAAATAGATAGACCAACTAGACAAAAAAATCAGCAAAAAAAGAAATCAGAACTAAAGCAAACGTGTGAACAAATGGACTGAATAGATGTTTACAGAGTGTTCCACCCAGTCACATCAGAATACATATTCTTCGCAGTTGCACATGGGACATTCACCAAAATAGACCATACACTACCACTGATTTATATCTCCAGTCTGTTTTATTTTTTTAAGTCTTGCTAACTTGTCTATACTGAACAATCCTCCTGTTTCAGTCTATCAAGCAACTGAGATTACAGGTCTTTATCACCATATGTTGACAATATTTTTGAATTATGCAATCCTTGTTTGCAGATTATTAAGCATTTGGAGGTTTGTTTGACCTGATTAGACTCAAGATATATGCATCTAGCTACCCTATATAAGTAATGCTATGTTTTTGTGTCACTCCCAGAGTATCAAACATGTAGGTTTATAATATTTATCTGGGCCTCAATGATAATTATTTTAATCATCTAACTATTTTTAAGGTGTGCACTTCAATGTCTAAGTTTCTGTTTACAGCTTGACAATATTATCTTCAGTATGATAAGGGCTTTATTATTTTTCATTTAATTATTTTCACTTTCATTATTATTGACTCATGCCCCAGATGCCTAATAGGCCCTTAAATTTTAAAAACCACAGAAGAGGGGGCTGGGGATTTAGCTCAGCGGCATAAGCACCTGCCTTGCAAGCAGGCAGTCGTGAGTTCGGTCCCTGGTACCGATAAAAAAGGAAAAAGACAAAAACAAACAAACAAACAAGCCACAGAAGAGTAATTGAAAGTTTTATTCACTGATACAGTACATACATTCCAAGCACCTAATACCAGCCCATATTTATTGAGTTAATGAACCAACAGGTGACTGTGGTTGATAGGATACTAAATAACACATAATTTAATATAATAAATATTCTTATGGTAGAACATTATTAAAACCATGGTAATTCAGCACATCCTAATTTATCATACAAGAACAAGATGGAAAATAAATGGCTAATTATAATCTCACCATTTTACCATTTTTCCAGTATATTTAACTAAAACTGTTAATCCCAAACTGCCTGATTTAGGCTGCATTGCACATTCCCATCATCACTCTCTGGTGGCATCATGAATATAAATGTGGGGAAACGGAGTAGATATCAAAGGGAGAAAACTTTGGCATTTTTAAATTTTGTCCCCTAGCCCTGGACAGATAGGTCATACAAAAATAGTTCTTGTCTTGCATGATTCTGATATGTATACATTTCATTTACCAGAGTATAATTCAATAGCACAAATCTCCAACACAATGGTTCCAATTTCAGTTGCTCACCATATGGAAGCATAAGAAAATATTATGAATGGTGGTTTACCAAAAAATCAGATAATTTGGATGAAATGAAAAAATTCTTAGAAAGACAAAAACTACAGTTGCTAATTCAAGAAGAAATACAAAATCTGAATAAATCTATGATACCTAAAGAGCTTGATTTAGTAATCCAAAATTTCCCACACAGAAAAGTCCCAGGTAAGCTGTTGAATTCTACCAGATATTTAAAGAACTAACACCAACACTACACAAACTCTTCCAAATCATAGAAAATAATGGAATATTTTCTAATTCATTCTGGGGCCAAGAACAGACAAAAACATCACAGTAAAACCATTGTCATGGTTTAGATCTAAAGTGTCCACCCAAATCCTCATGTGTTTGGAGGGTGTTTTGATCATGGTGGTGTTATAGCTAACTTGCTCTTAGGGAGTGGGGCCTAGTAGGAGATAGAGCATTGCGGACATGACCTGGAAGGGTTTACTCTGGCCTCCAATTCCTCCATTCCCTCTATGCTTCATGGTTGCCAGGCGTTGAGCATCTTTACCTCTACCATGCCCCTCTGCCATCCTATTTCTGCCTTGAAGCTAACTGATCATAGACTACAATCATGAGCTAAAAAACCCTATCCTCTTTTAATTTGTATGTGTCAGGTACAACCATAGCCCCACCACAAAACAAAATATAAGTATATGAAGTGATGAATATGTTACTATATTTAACTTAAACATTCCATAATGTATACCTGTATAAATATATTACACTTGTTAATTAAAAAGGAAAAATAAAATCACAAAGAAATATTCCTTGTTAATATACACTAAAAATCCTCTATGTAAACTAAATAAATTGGTAGATAACTTGGTTTTAGTTCGAATGCTATTTATCTGTAAAAATCTCAAATTTATCCTTCTTTGTGGCTGAATAGTACTCCATTATATAAGAAAAACCCACACACATCTTTTTTATCCATTCCTCAATTGATGGGCACTTGGATTGTTTCCAAGATTTTGCTTTTACAAATTCTGCTACTATAAACATGGGTGCACATATATTGCTGTGATATGATGTTTTTAATTCTTCTGGGAAGATACATAGAAGAGGAATAGCTGGGTTGAATGGGACCTCTAATCCTAGTTTCTTAAGGAATTTCCATACTGATTTCCACAGCAGTCGTACCATTCTACACTCCTGCCAATAATGGAAAAATGTTTCTTCTTCCCCACAGTCCCACTGGCATTTCTTATTGGTTGATTTTTTTTTTTTTTTGTACCGGGGATAAAACTCAGGACCCCAACGCTTGCCAGGCAGGTGCTTATGCTGCTGAGCTAAACTCCCAGCCCAGTAATTTTGGGAAGAATGTTGCACAGAGAATGACGTTGAACATACTTTTTAATGCTTATGAGCCATTGCCCTCCCCTTTCTTTTGGTACAGGGATCGAACTCATGACCTCATGCTTGCCAGGCAGGCGCTTATGCTGCTGAGCTAAATTCCTGGCCATTATTGGTTGATTTCTTGAAGATAGCCATTCTTTCTAGAGTAAGATAGAATCTCAGTTTTGTTTTAATTTGCATCTCTCAAATGATGTTGAGCATCATTTGAACATTTTTTTCATGTTTATTTGCCATTTGTATTTCTTCATCTGAGAAGTGTGTATTCACTTAAGATATCCACTTTTGGATTGGGCCTTTAAATTTGGGGTCTGATTTTTTTCAATTCTTTGTATGTTTTATATATAAGACTTCTGTCTGAGGGCCAACTGGCTATAATTTTTTTCCCACTCTTTGGGTAGTCCTTTTGCTCTAACAAACAGATATATTGACCAATGGACTAGATAGAGAGTGCAGAAGCTATCTGATTTTTTTTTTTTTTTTTTGGTCTTTTTCCTTTTCATCGGTACCAGGGATCAAACTCACGACTGCCTGCTTGCAAGGCAGGCACTTATGCTGCTGAGCTAAATCCCCAGCCCCGTTATCTGATTTTTGACAAAGTGCCCAGTAGTATAAAATGAAGAAAAGATAGTCTCTTCAATAATAGGTACTAGAAAAAGTGGATATCCACAGGCAGAAGAATTTTTTTGTCTTTTTGAGACAATATTTCACTACATAATTCAGGCTGGCCTTGAACTCACTTTGCAGCCTAGGCTGGCTTTGAACTCAAAAGTGATCCTCCTGACTCAGCCTCCCAAGCACTGGGACTACAGGTGTGTACCACCATGTCCTGCCTTAAAAGAAGTAATCTTGCACAGATTGAATGAATGAATGAACAAATAAGGGCCGGGGATGTAGCTTGGTGTAAAGATCTTCTTTTCATTAGGGGAGGGGGTGTAGGTAATAGTAATGTCTTCTGTGGAGAATGCTCAACTCTTGAAAACGCCATCAGTGCAGGAATTAATCAATGAACGTAAATACCCTTCTGTTTTCTTCAGGCCATTTTGTACCATTACAAACACACTTAACTACTTATATTGTATTCAACCAAACATGGTCCAGATGTGAGTCCAGGATGATCATCTGGAACTACATCCAGAGCCTGACTCCCCTTGCTGAATCACCAAACTGCCCAGGTTGGGCTACAGTTTTCGATCTTCCTGCCTCAGCCTCCTAGATTACAGGTATGTGCCACCAATCCCGGTTCTTAATGTATTTTTCTGAAGCTTGTAACAGTTACTGGCACTCGAATGACAGAATACAGTCTAATAACTTCAAGCAAAACCATATATTTAAAATCTGATTAAATGAATCAGTTATTTAAATAACTTGATTTATAGCCATATATACCTGGTAAAAAATAAGAGGGTTCATCAAACAGAATGAGAAAAAAAAAATACTGGTGCAGTTTGCCCTTACACACGGATTCAAAATTCGCATTTGCACGCGCCCAGATACAGTATGGAAGACAGGTTCCCTGGCGGGACTAGCATCCCAGTTTATCCCTCCCCCCTGCGCCACAGCTCTAGCCTACAGCCCAAGAGCGCAGCGCTGTTGCCCTCGAGCGAGAGTACGGCAGCGCACATGTTTGCAACTGTTACCCGGGTCCGTTAGAAGAGCTACCCGGATGTGCAGGGGTGGAGCCAGCGTCTACCCAGGAGGCAGCGCGTGGCATAAATACTCTGCCCTGCTAGCCGAGCTCATTGCGCGCTGAAAATCTTCGTGGCCGCCGGTATTGCTCCGGCGGTCACCTAGTATTTTCGCGCTCCTGCTTTTTCCCTTTTCTCCTTCTCCCGCTCTGAGCTGCAGTCAGGACGGGAACTGCTCTGCCCTGTCGGTAAGCGATCCCCGCTCCCCGCCTGTGTTGCGCTGATACAGGCAGCTGCTCTCTCCCGCTGCTGTGAGGGCGACTGTGGCCGCCCGACTCAGAGGAAAGCCGGCAGAGGGTCTTGATGCCGGCGCGGGTCGCCGGGCTCCACTGGGCGCGGGGGAGGGGAATGGGCTTGGCGGCAAAGCGGCGGGTGGGCACCATCTTGCGTCGGCCCCGGAGGGGGAGGGAGCTCGGGAAGGTAGCTGCTTGGCCGCGAGGTTTGGCCGCGCTGGGCAGAGCACGATCGCGTGGGCAGCTACCTCTCAGGCCTGGGCCACGCGGGCCACGGCTGCCGTTACCGCCTCGTCCTCCTCGTCTCCCGAGGCCTGTGACTCGGTCCCCAGCGTGGTTTGGGCTTTTCTTTCTGAAGACAGCTCCCTTTGGTCTTTTGTCCGTATGGTGCCGGCGTTTGGCGGAGACCCGCCCACCCCCAAGTCCCCTTAGTCTGAGGAGTGATGGTGGGGGCTCGGAAGTTTGAGATGTCTGGGCTCCCGCGGCCCCTCGGTTCTTTCTAGCCAGGCCCCCCTCCCCCAACCTGGGTTCCCAGTAATTCCGTGTCCACATCCTTTTATCTTGCCAAGGGGATTGCTCTTCTGTGTCAGAGACATCGTGCTCCATTCCGTTATTGTCTCTACGAGGATGAGAGCCCTGGGGAGAAACGTGGAGTTAGATGCGCGATTTTCTAAGTAGCTGTGTCGGTTTTTCTTAATGAGACTGAAAAAATTATCTCATTCCGAGGTTTTCTTAAGGAAACCTGCTCTGAAGATGGAAGGAGTACTCTCAACTTATCTCAAGTTTTAATGCTTTTTAAGGAGAAATCTGAGGACAATATCAAGTGAACGAGTTTCTACAAGCATGGGAGACCTTCATCTAAGGAATTCTCTTTGTTTGAAAGAAATTGGTTTTGTTTTTGTTTTTAAAGACCCACGAACATAAGTTTTTCGCTTTATTGTTTTCTGTTTAGGAGTATGAGGTTTAATGTCTTTTGGTGCCATTAAACATAAATTTCAAACCTAGAAGTTGAGTTTTAAACTATGAAAGTCCTCTTAGCATTTGTGAGATGTCCTTCTTTACCGGTTTCAATGCAAACTCAAACTTTAAGCAAAATCCTTGCTAAGCCTATGAAGCCACTAGCTTATCTATAAAATTAGATTGAATCTGTGTACTTTTAGTGCTTTAATATCAGTACACATTCCATTATAATTATGCCTTGCATTTGTTCATTATGTTGATATTACCCCTTTCGAGGTGGCCAGTAGAGTGTTGATAGAATTGTTTTGCAGGTGAGAAACCGCTTCACAGAGAGGACTTCACTAACTCAAGTGGTTGGACTGGGGTTTGTTTTATTTTATTTTGTTTTTGCAGTACTAGAACCTTATACCCCGCTCCTCACTTTTGAGACAGGGTCTAGGCTCAGGCTTGAATTCCTCTTGCCTTAGCTTCCCAGAGTGCTGCGATTACAGATAGGTGTCACCGTATACCCAGTTTGTGCCCTATATTTTATGAGTGTTGTGGTGGAGGAGAGTAAGCAAAAAGATTGACCTAAATTTTTTAAGAGATACTCATTTCCTCTTCTTTATATTTTTGACTTATTGTTTCAAGTTTTTAATATTTAAATATTTCTAAGTTGAAAAGTTGAAAAACTTTCTAAAACTTTCTGTTGAAAAAATTCTAATGTCTAAGTTCAAATCTCAGTTTTCCCTGTCCGATTTATTTTCTCCAGTTCGATTTTTTATTGCAGTCTGGTTTTTTCAATCCAGCGTTTTACTACTCAGCATTGTCTTTTTTTTTTTTTTTTTTTTTTTTTAGTACTAAGGATCGAACTCAGGACTGCATGCTTGCAAGGCAGGCGCTTATGCATCTGAGCCAAATCCCTGGCCCCTAGCATTGTCTTTTTCAATAGGGAGAGAGGAGAGCAAAGGGAAAGGAAAAATCTTATATAGCTCTATACCCTTTTTCCCCCACTTGTTTTCCTTTTTCAGGAGGACATTTAAAACCATTTTTTCTTTTTTCCTAGTGTTGACAATGGAACAGGTGTGGGCACATGGTAGGCAAGTACTGTGCTACACTCTGGGTAGAGGAAGTTGTAAATGGCATAGGGATTTTGGGGAATAGAAAATAATCTAGCATATTTACAACTTGAAAAAAAAAAGTAATTTGTAGTCCCTCTGTCCCTCCGTTGAATCCAGGTCCTTCCCACCGAACTACATCTTTTTTTTCGATAATTGTGGAGATCAAACCCAAAACCTTCATATTGAGCTACAACCTCAGCCCCTTTCATTGTTTACTTGTTCATTGAGATAGGGCATTACTGTGTAGCCTAAACTAATCGCAAACTCATTATACAGCCTAAACTGGCCTTGAACTCCAGGCAATCCTCCTGCCTTAGCCTCCAAAGAGCTTGAATTACAGGTGTGCACCACCATGCCTAACTTCAGCCTTTTTTGTATTATATTTTGAGGCAGTTTCTAAATTCCCCGGACTGGACTCAAACTTGAGATATTCCTACCTCAGCCTCCCAGCGTGCTGGGATTACAGGCTTGTTCCACCATGCCTGGTTTATAGTTTTGTTTGTTTTGGTACCGGGGATGGAAGTCACTGGGATCCCATGAACCCACAGGGATCGAACTCACCACCTACCGCTTGCCAGGCTGGCGCTCATGCAGCTGAGCTAAATCCCCGACTCTATAGTTTTTAAAAATGATAAATATTAGAATTTTATACTGAAAATATTTTATTATTTAACAATAACTTTTCAAAGACCAGAAATATTTATCACCTATATGCACTAATTAGATATATAACTCAGAATAATCAGAGAATGACTTTAAGAAAATTGGTTGTTTTAACCCTTTAGAGGTTGTGGCTTATCTGAGATACAGACCCTTACATGTTGTAAGGGTAACACCTGATCCAGAATCTCAGGGTAAATAATGATTCAGGAAAACTTGATTTGCTCAGTAATTTAAATAAAAATGTATACCTAGACTTTTAAAATTTATTCTTTGCACAGTGGTTTTCTTTGAATATTTCTGTTTACCTGCATCATATCAGGAAAAACCTCATCACCAGGTATCATCTGAGTTGAATATACCATTTTATTCCTATTAAAGTCTTTTTTACAAATAATTTGCATAATAATGAAGGAATAGTATAAAATATTAGATATTTACAAGAATTTAGATACAGCATACTTCATGCTTAGAAAAATGAAAACGATTTTAGAAGCTAAGAGAATCTAGTTTAATCTTTTATTAAGACAGATACTAAAAACATGCAGAAATGTAAACTAGTGCAACACTTACTAGATTTTGTTTTAGAATTATTTTCACTAAACGTATGCATTTAACATCTAATATACTTTTATTTTAGAATTTTATTCTCTTTTTACTGCTTGCATTCATGGTTTGTGATATGATTTCAGGTGAAGAAGTTAAGCAAAATACTCCAATATACTGTAGAAGAATTTTCTGACACTTTTTAATAGTGCCACAAGCAAGGTTATTACTGTTTTCACTTTACAGATAAACTAATACTCAAAAGGTTGATTAAGCTTCTGTAGGTTTGGCAACCAAAAGTGGTAGACCTAGAATTCCCATATATTCTGCATCTGTTTTTAGTATTCCCACCATGACAATTACTTGACATTTTCTCTGTTAGTTTTTACCTCTAAAAAATATGAATTAATAATAAATACATATTTCTTGCAGTTACTTTAGCAATTAAGAATTATAGAATATCATATGAAGATTATATAAGATACTTGCTATATAGACTAGCTTTGAAAGTCCAGCAATTATGCTATTAGTCTTTTCCCCAAACTGTGTTACTTTTACATATAAATAATGATAAAAGTATGTTTCCATTGGGTGCAGTAGCAGCATATGCCTGTAATCCCAGTGACTCCACAGACTAAAGCAGGAGGATAACAAGTTCAAGGCCAGTCTGTAATTTCATGAAACCCTGTCTTGAAAAAATAAAATGTGCCAGGGCCATAGTTAATGGTAGAATACCACTTGCTTTGGTCTCCAGTACCACCAAAAGGAAACAAGTATATTTCTGGAGTCAGTTTTTTAGCCAGAATATAATATAAAATTATTTTTCACAAATTATATTGCATTATAGTGCCACATCCCAAAAATGAACACAAAATGTTTTAAAATGTAGGAAACTTCACAATGTATTACACTAATAAATTTTGAATCCTATTGTAAACTACCTATTTTCTTCAAATAGGTGAAGTATAAAAACAGATAAAAGTTGAAAATATAAATAAGGAAAATAGTAAAGCCACTAAAGAACTATCTTCTCAAAATGCATCTGTACATTTGTTTAGGCTTTCGGAAATAATTTGCAGAATGCAGAAATTTTTGGACAAAAAAAATAGTGACCATGTATTTTCTTCTTGAATTATATGTGATTTGTTCCCCAAAACCTGGTTTGAGAGTTTAAATTACTTAATTGACAGTGAAATTGTCTGAAGGATCCAAGATGAAAACCAATGATGGCCAACCTTAGAGATGAATGCCCAAACTGTGACCTAATACCCTCTTGTTTATCACCAAGTGCCAACACTGCAATTAAACCTGAATTCTGAGGTTTTAGTTTAGAAAAAACAATTCATACATTAAAATATTTTGCCTTAAAAACAAATAACATATACGCCATAAGGTTGCCATTGTGTATAAACCATTATGTCTTGGATTTGAGTACTTTGCCAGTAATTCCTGTTACAGCATTTTCATAACCGATACTTAAAATGTTTAAAATATTCTCAGTGTTCTGAACTATAAAACAATAAGTGAAACTACAAAAGCAATAGCATTTGAGTCAACTTTAATATTTTGAATGAATAATATATTTTGCTAAAACAAAGTCACTACTGACTTCTAGAGTTTTTCATATCTGTAAATCATAGTTACTATTGAAATTATGTGGTCAGCCTAATTTAGTTGTGAGATGGTAATCCCAGAGTATGCTTGTATTAGATTTCTTGAAAGATAGCAAAACAAGCCAGACTTGGTTACACATGTCTGTAATCCTAGCATTCTGGAGGCTGAGACAGGTGAATCACTGTGAGTTTGAGGCCAGCCTGAATTGCATGGTGAAGTCCTGTCTCAAAAAGACCAAAAAAATCGGGGCTGGGGATTTAGCTCAGTGGCATAAGCGCCTGCCTTGCAAGCAGGCAGTCGTGAGTTCGATCCCTGGTACCGATAAAAATGAAAAAGACAAAAAAAAAAAAAAAAAACCCAAAAATTGCACTATCTGGATTATCTCTATTTCCCCAGAGGTCTGTTAACCATGGTTCAAAAAATGTTGGGATAATTCATTGGTAACTATTTTTTAATGAAGTGCCAGAAATCTAGTTTGGAGTAGATTAAATAAAAAATGAGCAATTATTTCCTCTGTGAAACTTTTAGTGTATAATTTGCTTCAAGGATAATTAGCTTCAGTTGTTTAAATGGTATCATTAGGACTTTAATTATCTTCTTAAACTACCTCTTTTTCTATCCCCAGAATCTTACAACATTGCTATTCTCTTTTTGCTTTTCATAGGTGCTTTTTTTCCACAGGGTGACTTCCTTACCAACAGGCTTATTATGCTACTGGCTTGAGATAAAATTCACACTTTTTTTGGTATTGGAGATCAAACTCATGACCTTGTGCTTGCTGCTGAGTTATAGCCCCCAAAATTCACACTTTTTATTTAGGGGTTGAACCTGGGCTCTCACATGCTTAAGCAAGTACTGTAACACTGAGCTACCTTGCAACCCCTTATTTGTTACCGGGCCTTGCTAAATTGCCCAGAATGGATTTGAACTTGGATCCTCGTTCAGCCTTTCAAGTAGCTGAGATCATAGGCATGTGCCACATAGCACAAAGCTCAATACTTCTTTTAAAGTATATAATTCAGTTGTTTGAGCATATTTAGAGTTGCATAACCATCACAACCAATCAATTTTTGAATATTTTCATCACCCTAGAAAGAAGCTTTGTGTCCAATCACTCCCCATTTCCCCCAACTCAGCCCTTGGCAGCATTCTATTTTCTGTCTATGGTTTTGCCATTTCTGGAAATTTCATGTAAATGAAATCATATAATATGTGATCTATTTGGTTTCTTTGTATAATATCCTTAAGGTCCACATGTATAAAAGGTATCACTGTTTCATTAACTTTTACTGATAAATTATTATGTGGATATATCACATTTTGTTATTCTTTCATCAGTTATGCTTCCATAAGTATTTGAATGTTTTTCACTTTTCTGTAATTATTAATAATGCTGCTATAAACATTTGTATACAAACTTTTACTTATGTGTGTCTCTAATTGTCTCTCTAGGAAGAAATTGATGGGTCATATGATTGATAACTTTTTTAGCAATGATTGATAACTTTAATGTTTAACTTTGTGAGGGGCTAAAGTGTTGTCCACAATAGCTCTACAATTTTATATCCCCACCACAAGTACACGAGCATTCCAGTTTCATTGTATGCTTGTCAACTCTTGTTGTTCTTTGCCTTTTGAATATAGCCATCCTAGTGTGTACTAAGTGATATCCCTTAACTTTAAAAAGTATTTTGAATTAATTCATAATTTTATGAAGCTTTTTTAGAATAAACTCTTTTAAAATATGGGTAAATCTCACATGTATAAAAAAGTTGAAGCAAGCTGTGTGTGTTGGCACATGCCTGTAATTCCAAAACTTGAGAGACTGAGGCAAGAGGTTCACCATGAGTTCAAGGTCAGCCTGAACTGCACAGTGAGACCCTATCTCAAAAAGACAAAAAAAAAAAGAAATTTTGTTGTTTTTTTTCTTCTTTTCTTTCTTTTTGTCTGTGAATAAAATGGATTTTAAAAAATGGTAGTCAAACATAAAAGTGTTATGTTAATCTCATAGGCTATACAGTTGTGACTGTTAAAAAAATATTTTTTGTGTGTGGAGGTGATACTGGGGATTGAACCCACGGCCTTCACACTAGGCCACATCCCCAGCCCTTTATTTTTTGAGACAGGATCTTGAGTCTGGATTTTCACAAACTGAACCCAAATTTGAAATCCTACTTCATCTTCCCAGTGTGTGACAATTACAAACACGTGCTATTGGGCCTAGTTTATTTTGTATTCTAGATAACTTAATATTACTCAAATACTTGATATACTATTACTTGGTAACTTAATGCTTTAGATACTTAATATTGAGCAGGAATTGTCATGTTTATTTACTTGATATATGTATTACTTTACTTCCCTAGTTTAGGGGACAAAGCATTAAAAAGTAGTTGAGTTGAAGAGATTTGTAAATAGATCTCAGAACTAGAGAAATTTGGCCAGATATGTGGGGCACACTGTAATCTCAGCAGTTGGGAGGCTAAAGCAAGAAGATTACTGCATGTTCAAGGCCAGCGTGGGCTATATAGTGAGTTCAGGATGAGCCTGAACTACATAGCAAGACCCTGCCTCAAAAAAACCAAAAAGAACTAGAGAAATTTGCTAAAGGACCAAATTCATTAGAGAATCTTGTAATTCAAATTCAAACATTTGTAACACACAGTAAATTTTTCTGGAGTTTAATTTTTTTGTGAACTAATCAATACAAATAATACAACGTAAGGAAAAGTTTGCTCTTGCCAATCTGAGAAAGACAAATGTAAACCCTGAATTAGCTGTGTATATCAGACTTCCTTTAGATTTTGATCATTTCATTTTGTAACTGAAATAGTGTAAGAGTAGTATTTATTTTGTATATAGAATATATAGGATATACATGAGAATTCAGAGTGCAATTCAGAATCAAATTCTTACTCTAAAGCAATTCAAATTTTTTGATAACATTTAATAACTTTGTGTGTCTGTATATGTGTGTGGAGGGGTACTAGAAATTGAGCCTGAGTTCTTCAAGCTGAGCTACATCCCAGCCCTTTGTATTATTTTTTAAATTTTGAAACAGTATCTCACTGAATTGCCCAGGGAAGACTCAACTTGAGATGCTCCTGCCTCAGTCTCCTGAGTCACTGAGTTACAGGCATGTACCACCATGCCTGGCATAAAACTTGTCATTTAGTAATTTATCAGATTTACTCAAGTAGAAAATGTTAACATTTTCAGCATTTTATGTACTAAATTTGCATTGGGTTATAAATCAGTTATGTAAATTACATGTGTATATTACACATATCAATCTCAGATTGTGAGCTTTTTTGTAGGAGAAAAGTATTAGATATGTGTACATTTAACTTAAAAAATCTACTCCAAAAGTAGGTCTCTTTATTTTATGGGGTGGAAAACTAAAACCTAACTTGCTACCTTGTCTAGTATCACATGAAAAGATTGAAATTAGAACCGGATTTCTAAATCAAGTTTCATGTTTCAGTATTTAATGTTACTTAAAGTTATTAATAAAATTGACTGATGTCATATGTTTGTTCTTAGGTGATTACAACTTGATGGATGACAGCTCTTTTCAACAAACAAGTAGGTATTAACTGCTGCGTAGCATTTGTACTGATAAGCTTTCTTTAAGAGAAAAGGTGATAGAAGAGGACACATTTTCTTAAACGTAAAGATGCTTAGAGCTGGCATGGTGACACGTGCCTGTGTAATCCCAGCCACTCTGAAAGGGTGAGGCAAGGAGATTCCAAGTTTGAGTACAGACTGGGCAACTTAGTGCCTTAGCAAGACCCTGTCTCCAAAAAAAAAAAAATGCTGGGGTTCGGGATGTAGTACAGCATATGAAGGCCTTGGGTTTGATCCCTAGTGCTACCTCACAAAAAGAAAAAGGCTTAGATTTATTAAAGTAATACATGTTCATGGTTAAAAATTAATAATATACAATAAAAATGTGAGCAAATTAGATATTAAATGTTTCCTCCTTATCCACAGAGCTAGATATTATAGTGTTGAAAAGCATAAACACAAACTTTGTCTGCATAGACAAAAGCTTTTATTTCTAAAACTTATTATGCTGTATGTGCTGTTATGTAATTTAGATGTTTTCCTCACCAGTATGTTTTAACTGTATTGACAGTGGGAGTATCCAGTTCAAAAGAATAAGGAAGGCCCATGTGTTCACATGGTATCACTATGATATCATTATCAATATGTATTAACTTCCCTGACTTAACTTCGGTATTATCTGACTTTGCCAAGTTTCTTAGCCTGTAGAGTATATGTTAAGTGTATGTAATATATCTAGTAGACTACTATATGTAGGAGGAAGCACGAAAGAGGAAGAAAATGTTCTTTACTCTCAAGAATCTTACTTTGAAGTTGAAAGTATATAATTAAGATGCTTAAAAATAGTAAGCAATTTGAGAGCATATATAATAAACGTTAAATTATATGACATAGACTGTCAGTACAGTAAGAGGTGAAAGAAAAACAAGTTTAGTTGTTTATTGAGGAAGTTACAATTGTTCTGAGTTGAGTTGAGAAAAGACAGCATTGATATTTCGTAAAGTATCTGCTTGAAATTACATGCTGTATATAGCATCTTCAATGTCTGTTAACACTTCTATTTGATAGATATTTTAAGCATATCAGAGAAGATGAAATAGGCCAAGTAATGTCTCCAGGGACATATAATTAAGGAAAAGTTGCAATGAAGATTTGAACTGCGATAGTTCCCTCTTACTTTAAGGATATAGTCTAAGAATTCCAATGAATGCTAAAAACACAGGTTGTACCAAAACCTATGATTTAATTCCTTTTGCATACTATTTATTATGTTATGCACTGCGGCTATAAGTTTTGTTATTTAAAGTACAGCAGCAAAAACTAGCATAAGTTTCTTTCTTTGCAGTTTCTTAGAGGATGTGTTTTTACCATAAATCTTGGCAACCTTGCCATATGAGGCTTTTTTCTTTCATTATTAAGTCAGGAACTTTTAGTTTTTCACTTAACAAATGCAGTGTGCAACTTACTTTTGTCATGTCTGGATCGCCAGCGGCATTGGTGATGGGAACCTTATTAGCTAAAATAAAAACCACTTCAACAAAAGCACTGTTGGACTGGTAACTAGAATAACTACTAAGTGACCATCAGGCAGGTCATATATAAGTATAGATACACTGGACAACAGGGATAGTTCATATTCCAGGAAGAACAGAGCAGGAAAGTGTAACGTTTCATTATGGTACTAACAATGACAAGCAATGAAAAATAAAATAAGACCTGTGAATAGTTTATTTCTGAAACTTTCCACTGATGTTTTCAGACTACCACAAGTAACTAAAACCATGGAATGTAAAATCATAGGTAGAGGAACTACTGCATTCAATTCCATGTCAAGTCCTTGCTCTTTCCACTCTATTTACATAATGTGGGCAGTACAAGGTGAGGAGAAAGGATACTCTGGATAGAAAAATCAGTGCGGGTGAGGGCTGTAAGGAACACAACGAAGATAGTGATTTCAAGTATGCAAAATACAAGTGATATGAATTTGCTTTTAATTACTTGAGGATAATCTGTATGCTTTTTTGAGGTACTTAGAAAAAGGAACCAGTTCATGATATTGAATACATTTGGGAGGATAAGAACATTTTTTGCTTTGGAGTTTATTAGGAAGGGAAATTAACTACTAAACATGAAATGAATTTTGGGCTGGGGCATAAGTCAATGGTAGAGTCCTTGCCTAACTTGCCCAAGGCCTTGAGAAGGAAAAAAAGAAAAAAGAAATGATTTGTGGCGTACCTGTGTAGAGGGGGAAAATAAAAGTGCAGAATAGCACTGACTTGTTAAGATACTTCTTTTGTATACTGTCCTCATACCATTATTTTCTTCAAATAGTGCTTTTTAAGGTCATGGTAAAATATGGTCTTCATTTTGGGTTGAAAGTAGAAATAGCATTATTTTAGTACAATAGAATTACCTTTAGAAGTGGCTGCATTTTAAAATCAAGATTTTTTTGTCTAAGCCAGAACTCTGAAGTGTTAATTGTCCCCCATCCACCTCTCTTCCACTTTCGTACAGTCCTCATTGTTGTTATTTTACTTTAGATCTCCTTCAGTACTTCTTTTCAATAGAAACAACACACAGTTTAAGTCAGATCTGAAAAGTGTTTAGGTTACACAATTTCTTTAATGGAGTGAGGTAGACAAGTGTGTCTGAACACATGCGTATGACCTTCTCCCCTACCCCAAGGCATCTACTCTCAATTGTTCAGCTGTTTTTCTAATAATTCTTTCTGAATTTCAGTTTTCTAATATCCATGTACATACTGCTCTCTTAAATCATCAATTTTTGTCATTATCTGCTGATTTTATCTGTCAAGAAAAATGGAAATTTCAGGTTTTTTTTTAACATATTAACTTTCCAAGCTTTTCTCAGTATATCTCAATTTTTGGTTAAATCATCTTAGTTATTATGGTGATCATAGTATTGTTCATAGATGAGCACAGTACTGTGATTTAATGTGTTATGGTTATATTTTCTTTATCCTACAATTAAAAGTTTTCATTCTTTACATTTGCTGATTATTAAACTCAATAGCTAAGTATTATCATACTTTTATATAGCCTCTCAGTTTTCTGCATGGTAAAATGTGCCAGGTAATCTAAATGTAATTTTTGATATTTTCAGCTGGAAAAGTATCAGGTCTCCTTGAAGTAACATGCTCATAATATATTCTGGCTGATTTGCTGCGTAGGCCTATTGAGCTGTTACTGTCCTGAAACTTTCCTTTGTTTTTCTATTGTGTTGAATGTCATGTTTTCTGCATTCTGTATTTTTCTCCTCAAGTCCCATAATTCAGTGGATTCTGTTTGAGGAAGAAAAAGTAAATGGAAGTGAAATTTTGACAAACTTGAAATTCTCATCTTTCTTGATAGAAAATCATCAGATAATGACAAAACTGATGATTTAAGAAAAGGTAGTGGGCTGGGGATTTAGCTCAGTGGCATAAGCACTTGCCCTGCAAGCAGGTGGTTGTGAGTTCGATCCCCCGTACCGGGGGGGAAAAAAAAAAAGAAAAGGTGGTATAGAGGCCAGGGATAAAGCTCAGTGGCACACACTTGCCTGGCAAAATGCAAGGTCCTGAGTTCTATTCCTAGTATCAAAAAAAGAAAAAAGGAAAAAAGAGCAGTTTGTACATTTTTTGGTCATAACTCTTGATAAAAACAAAGGCACCTCATGCTAAGAATAGATTGGCTAAGTGTAAAAAATTATTTTAATAAGGTTTTTATATAAGCATTATTTTAACTTATACCTTCATTCCAACTGTGGGATATTCCCTTATTTCCAGTCTTCTGAAATTTTTAGATGATATCCTTTAGTGTAATTTTATATTCTGTTCTTGGTCATTTCGCTGTGTGCTGATGGCTTCTTTCATTATGGACGTTTATGGCTGTTAGAACTGGGAACTTTTCTCTTATTTGATTACCTTCCTGTCCTTTTTTTCTGTCCTGTTTCTGAATTATTTTCAGTACTGGGGTTTGAATCCAGGGCCTTTACACTGAGCTATATACCCAAACTTTTTCCCCCTTGAACTAATCTCATTAAATTACCTAGGCTGGACTGGAACTGGAAAGCCTCCCAGAGTGCTGGGATTACAGGTGTGTGCCATCACTCCCTACTTATTATCTGAGACAGGATTTCACTAATTTGCACAGGCTGGGCTTGAACTTGCAGTGTTCCTACTTTAGCTTCACAAGCAGATGAGATTATAGGCATGTGCCACTGTGGTCAGATTTTATTACATGACTGTTGTACGTTTGAAATTGATTTTTCTAACATTCTTGGCTTTTCTGTTTGTTATAATTTTTTGCCTTTTAGTTCCATAGTTGCTCAACTTTGGCATTTTTTTAAACTGAAACTTGACTTACGTTTACTATTTTTCTGAATGGTATTTACAATAATTTTTTCTTATCTCTCCAAAGATGTTAATTGTAATCTTTTAATTTTTTTTTAATTCTGTGTCTGTGTTTGGTCAGAGCTTACAGGCTGGTAATATTCACAGTATGTTCTTTGCTTATTTTCTTCAGGTAAAAGTTATCTGCTGTGGAATGCAATAAGCTTCATTTAATATCCCTATTTTCAGTCTAGCACTTCATCCTTGCTTTGCTTTGTACCTAGCGGCTCTCAACCATAATTCGGGGGGGGGGGGAGTTTGCTTCTCATTTTTAGTTTATATCTCTTTCATTAACACAGCTGAGTTTTTTCAGCTTTTTTTGTAAATATAATCATATACTAGTAATATAACTGAAATTCACTTTAAATGGATTTCACGTTAAAATTTATCAGTCATGGTAAGTATCTACTGTCCTCCATTTTCTATCTAGAATTAAATTCTTCATTTCTTTTGTTACCATGTATCAACTACAAATAATAATCTATATTGAAAAGATTTTTTTCTTTTTGAAAAGTAAGATTTTTTTATTTTTGAAGGTAAGATTTTTTTCTCTTCTTTTGAAAAGCAGATAATTCAAAAATGGCAGAACTCTTCATGGAATGTGAAGAAGAAGAGCTGGAACCATGGCAGAAAAAAGTAGAAGAAATGCAGGTGGAAGATAATGATGATGATGATGATGATGAGCTAATCTTTGTTGGAGAAATATCGAGTTCAAAACCAGCCATTTCAAGTAAGCATTTACTTTAGTGATGTTTTGTAAGATAGTTGTTCTTTGTTTTGAGTGAAAAGACTCTATGGACTATTATATATGCCCTTGATATATTTGCTTTTTTGAAAGGAGCCAGAAGTGAGATGTAGAGATCGAAGTTAGTAAAAACTTGGATAATTACAGTGAGGATGTTGTTGGGTACAGGAAAAAGGAAGTGAGAGGTTAAAATACCATGTGTGAGAAAACAGTTAAACAGTGAGATTGTCTCACTACATTGGCCTTCTGAGATCCTACTTTTTAAGGAAGCATTGCAGCTTATCTGTTTAATTTTGTTTTCTGTTTCTCTTTGCAACCCTTTATGAAAAGAAATTTGTTTAAAGTAGTCAGAATATGTTAATTAGGTTTGTGTGAGTGTTTTGTAGGAGTTGTCAGATCCAAGCAACTATCTTATCAAAGTGGCAACTTGACTCACTGCTATTAAAATACATAGGTGCGAGTGATTATGCAGTCTCTGGTCTGTGCTGTGGCTTCTGGCTACACTCACTTTACAGTAAATACTGGGGGATACTTGTTTGTTTATTTGTTTGAGATAGGTTCTAAATATGTACTGTAACTCACGCTGGCTTTAAACACACTATGTTGACTGGCTTCAAGCTCATAGCGCTCCTCCTGCCTCAGCCTCCTTAATGCTGGGATTACAAGCATGCACCACCATGCCTGGTTGACAACTATTTGTATTCATGGAGGAAGGGCCTACTCTTTAGTCACTGTACTTGAGTGATATAGACAGTCAGTGCACTTACCTCCTCATAGATTTCCAACAGAAGATGCCCATTGCCTTTATGAAATATTAGACTTGTTGCAGGTTATTAGACTTGACATTATTGTGTCAAAGTGAAGGAATCAGTGATAACTTGTTAAAATGTCCTCTCGGAAGGTATAAAGTACATGGGGCAAAATACTGAATTTCAGGAAAGAAGCAACAAAAACTTTCCAGTTTTTTTCTAAACTGGAAAATTTATCAGAGAGTATAGTCAGCATACCAATTTTTTTACTTACCAAAGCAATGAACAACAGTGTGCTTGGGACAAGTTTTAAATTTTCTGAAAGCCTAGTAGTTTTATCTCCATTTCTCTGCTTGCTTGCTTGCCTGCCTGTCTCTGTCGCATCTGTCTGTCATATATCTCTGTCTCTGTCTGCTGCTTCCTGCCTGCCCCCCTCCATTGGGATTGAGCCAGTAGTACTAGGCTGTATCCTCCAGACCTTTTATCTTGAAATGGGTTCTAAATTGTCCACACAAGGTTCAAACTGGAGATCTTCCTGCCTCCACTTCCTAAAGTGCTGGTATTACCAGGTGTGCAACTTCTTCCTAGCCTCTTGTTTCTCTTGACTCCAAACTTAGACTTGTACTTCTATTCATTTTTATCAGAAGTAGGAAAATTTACCCAGTTAAATTCTCAATGTACTCTTCCATGACAAATTCACGAAGTGCTAAGTAGAGTGGCATTTAAATCATAAAATGAACTAAGTTTATTTGGTACATTTATTGCTAATAGTGAAACAGGATAATATATTTGTATTTTAAGTTACTGTTCTTATCACTGACAATTTATGTGAAAATATTACCATCTTTCAAAATCATTACTCAAATCATCTTACCGAAAGAAAACAATTCACATTCATGTTGGATTTATATCAATTGTAAATGATTTAACAATACTCAACTATAATAATCTCTATTAGTTTCAAGTGATTCTATCAAAAAGGGGATTGAACCCAGTGAAATATCTTTTCTAAATTGTTAACTCCGAATTTTATTTTAGTTTATCTTTTTTGTCTTTTTTGAAACAGAGTCTCACTATGCAGTTAAGGCTGGCCTTGAGCTCACTTTGTAGCCCAGGCTGGTCTTGAACTTGAAACAATCCTCCTGCCTCAGCCTCCTGAGTGCTGAGTTTACAGGTTTGTGCTACCATGCTGGGCCTCAGAACTTTATTTTAGCCAGATATGGTGGCATATAAACCCAGCACTTGGGAGGCTGATGTAGGAGGATTGCCATGAATATGAGACCAACCTGGGCTAAAAAGTGAGTTCAAGATCAGCCTAAACTACATAGTGAAAGCCTGTCGGAAAAAAAACCCTCTAAAAATTTTATTTTATTGATATTTTATATGTAGTCTGTAAGCTATGTTAGCATGTTGAATATGAGCTCAATTGTTTTACATGTAAAACAATTGGGCATGTAAAAACTTGTGTTTGGTACATTACAACCACCAAAAAATATGAGTAACTCTTTAATAGCTTGAGTAAATACTTACCATGAGTTTCTGACTACAAACAATGTTGAGCTGTTTGAATAAATAGGGTTTTTTATACAAGACTTCTGTAGCACTTAATCATAGAGTATTTCATTTCCATGATCAAAAAATAATCACATTTTTATATGACCTTTTACTGCATAGAATTATTGTGGAATCTGCTTCTTTTGTAGTAAAAGATAAAAAGGGATGTTTGAGAATTTGTGGGATATTTTCATGCTTTGTACTTTTTCCTAATAAGCAATTTTAGGCAAATTTCTGCTTTGCTAAATTTCAGTTTGATTCCTAAATTAACTGGAAGTTACGGAGTTCACATGAATACAAGAGGGAGCAGGGATTTTTTTTTGACATGGTTGTGCTGTGTAGTTTAGGGTAGCCTTGAACTCCCTGTGTAGCCCAGGCTGGCCTCAAACTATCAGCCATCCTCTTGCCTCAGCCTCTGGAGTGCTGGGATTACAGGCATTACTATCATGCCTGGTAAGAGGGAGCAATTTTGAACTGATCAAGAGTGACTTGTCAGCTTCAAATTGACTGCATTTGAAATCAGTTAAGCTAATAATCAAATACTAAATTCTAGGTTTAATGTAGTCTGCAGTTCTGATAATTCAGAACTCAAGAGCACTGGTGATGAGTAGTTGATTTAAGAGAAATCAGTCAGCCTACCTGTAATGCAAATTCAGGCATTTAGGAGAGTGAATGTGGCATGGGTGTTGGTGGAGGACTTATGCCGCTGAGCTAAATCCCCAGCCCCAAGGACTTGATTTTGAAACTACATATTTTCACCATTAATTGAAATACATTTCTATTTTTAGTTATTATGGCTGTATTTTTGAAGTTTTTATTATAATATATTTCAAATAATGATTTTTAAAATAAATATTTTCACAGATATTTTGAACAGAAGTAACACCAGCTCATCTTCATCTTCAAAGGGAATAAAGAATGAGTCTCTTGGTCCAGGTGCACTATTTGATTACTATACTAATTTAAAGTAAAATATTTTCACTATATTGTATTGATTATATGGTAATATATTCAATATTTTGTATAATTTTAAATATAGGAATTTCTGATATGTTCAAACCTACAAGTCAGCATTACAAAGACCCAAGATCAAATCCTGTGGCTGCCTTATCTAGATTTCGTCCTGAATCTAGATCTTCACAAAGTTCTGCTGTTGTTCAGGATACATCTAAATCTGTAAGTATTTCTGAATACTATAATACTAAGTTAGGAATTATGACCTCTCATAGCTAATTGCCATTCCAGCAGAAGCATAATCACCATGAGAATATGTCACTATCTTATGATATGGTTCAACCAATAACCAAAAGTCTTAACTGCAAAAACTAATTATCTAGCATATTATTAAATCGAGTAATATGCTTAAATAGGTATAGTATTGAAAACTCCAATTTAAACATATGTAAGTATAACTAATAATAAATATTAATAATGGTAACTTTTTTCTCATATTAATGTTTTCATTCTTTAAAATTAATATATTTTGTGTTGGAACACTGTAAGCCTTTTAGCTATTTTGAAATATACCGTAGATTATTGTTAACTATGGTTACTTTACTGTGTTACAACACCAGAACTGATCCATGCTGTTTATTTATGTATCAACCTCTGAATATCCCCCCATCATGATGTTGAATAGTAGTCATTCATTTACCACACCACCATTGTTAGACATTAAGAGGGGTTTTTTGCTATCATTCTCCATTAAGCATTTTTATTTCCTTAGTGTAAATTCTTAGAAGTGGAATAGTTAGATCAAAGGATATCATTTTTTTAGCTTTTTATTTTAAACTTAATTTTGCATTTCTAGAAAAATTACAAAAATAATGAAAATTAATAATTACTTTTGTGCCACATAGTTTTTAGTGATTGAGTCTTTAAGCTTATCTTTATAGTTTAGGAATATAGTTAAATTTGCCCTTATATAAAATTTACTAAACAAAATAACCATAACATTTTACAGGATTTTTCGAAGAATTCATCACAAGTTGAATTGGATAATTCTTCAGTCTCACTGTTTGGTTCATCCCAGGATACAATACCACTGTCCACAGGCATAGGAAAAAAATTTTTGGAAGGTTTGATTTAGCATTTTTTCATAAAAATTTTTAAAAAGACTTGATGAATATGTATATAAAATTAAATTTCTCTTTAGAGCCCATATTTTCATGTTATTTTTTTCATATGTTACAAAATGGATGAAGCTAATCATTCCTGAATGCCCTTCTTGGATTACTTCATGTAAAATCATATTCAATAATAGAATTTTTTTTATTAATTGAGTAGTATATATTCTTTGAGCTATGGGGTAAAATATCTTAATGTAATTTCTGTGAGTTGAGGAATTCCCCTGATACATTAGATATTCTGTGAGAAAAATATTACTTGGAAGACCATTTGTATGACAAAAATACATAGTTATAGTTAATTTTTTTAATAAACTGATGTCTTTCTATCCAAATAAATGATTCAAATGTAGTTAAATGTGATTGTAAATTGTATTATAAGATGCTAGAGCTAAAGAAGTGGTATTTTGGAAATAGTAAATACTCAATATATATCCATTAAAGGAGTAGTAAAATTTCCCAATTAAAGAAGGGTTTGATTGTCTGCCATAAAAAAGTTCTTAGCTGAGCATGATGGTGCACACCTGTACTCCCCGCACTCAGGAGGCTGACACAGGAGGGTCATCATGAATTTGAGGCCAGCCTGTACTACATAGTGATTAAGACCAGCCTGAGCTATGTAATGAGACCCTGTCTCCAAGAAAAGTTCTTCATTAAATGAGTATGCCAAAAGAATTTTATCTGCTTAAGAAATTTTACTGCAGTCAAAAGCTTGCTAATTAATATGTATTTCACTAGAACTTTCTGGATTTTTAATCACTAACAAATTAGCATACAGCATTTATCAAACCCAAACAAAAATTTCTAGAGTAATATGAGTGTCAAAAATATTTTCCCATTTTGATAATACTGTACTTAGGTTGATATTTACATAACTAGTTATCTAGTTAATAAAATAACCAAGAGCCAAAATAAGAAATATAAAATAGTGGTCTTCAGTCTGATTTCATAAAACATGATCTTAGACATAGAAAATGTCTGAATTCATGATCCATCCATAGGTTAAACACAGTGACTCTTTTTCTCTTTTAAAGTCTTCGTAATGTACAAAGTGAATCTTTGCCTTCAATGGCAAATACCACTGTTCTTGATTTAGAAAGATACAGGTTTGTTTGTTTATTTTGAGATTGGTCTTTCTGTGTAGTTCAGGCTGACCTTGAATTCATTATTTAGCATGGCTGGACTCAAATTTGCAGTGATTTTGCCTCAGCCTTTGTGAGTGCTGTAATTACAGTCAGGCACCACCATACTCAACTTTGTTTTTTTCTTTATGTTTTCTTTTTCTCTCCCTGGTGCTGAGCATCAAACCCAGGGCCTCATGCATGCTAGGCAGTTGCTCTGCCACAGAGCCACAGCCCCAGACCAAAGCATCTATTCTAAAGATTTTTGTGGTCTTTACCAAGTCACTTAAATTCTTTACTTCAGTTTTCTCACCTTATTAAAATAGATACTTTTATATTTTTCTGCATAATGCATGCATTCCCCAAACCTAAAATGAACCATTTGGAGATAAAGTTACTTATCTGAGGTTTTTTGGAAGCCCAGATAAGAAAACTGAAAAATGAAAATTGCATTATTAAAGGACTTAATAGTTGTTAAGTTAATAATTATGAATGATAATATATATTTGGAAGCCTGAATAATCATTTTCTATCTAGAATGATTATATAAGCTCAAATATATTTAAACATCCAAAGATAAGTTCATTTGAAGGAATTTAGTCCAGAGTATTCTCTGGGTTTTAATTTTTTTTTGACTTGGAGTTTTTGGTCTTCTTTCATGATTTGTATTTCTTTATTTGAGAGACTCTTTAGAATTTTTTTTTTGCATAGACACTACTCCTTTGGCACATTTCTATAATCTTGTTATGCAAGTTGAGCAAGAAGGATCAAAAGTTTTTGTTTTGCCTATAGTGTGATCCTGTTTTGAAAATTAAAATAAAATAAAAAGAATGGAGCTGGCCTTGGTGACTCATGCCTGTAGTCCCAGTACTTGGTAGACTGAGGCAGAAAGATCACCATGAGCTTGAGGCCAGTTTTGGCTATACAGTGTGTTGAGTTGAAGTCTGGTCTCAACTGCATAGCGAAACTGTCTCAAAAAGATGGGGCTGTGATTCACTTGGAGATTGCTTGCCTAGCTTGCACATGGCTCTAGATTCCACACACAAAAGGCCCAGTACCATATACAAAGGAATAATTTTCCTGCATAAAGTTGATACCATAAATTTGTCAAATATATGTAGTCCACAAAAGCTGTTTATAAAATTTCTGCCACGTATTTACATAAATATTGATTGTTTTTTGATATTTGTATGATAGTTTAAATGTATTTAATTTGTCCAAGGTATTTTTAGTTAATTTTAAATATAAGATCATTTTTAGTAAGCAATTTTACCTAGATAATACTGTAGACTAAAGTATTTATAAATATCTTCTCCACTATTTAAATTTTTTTAGGTGTGGATCAAACTTCATTTGGATTAAAACGTCCTTCTACTTCTAAAATAAACAGTGTTAATCAAAAAAAGCCAAAGACCAGTGAAAGTGTTTCTGAAATAAATCTCTCCTCTTCATTGTCTTTAAATAGTTCTTCAGTGGCATCTTCCCAGGTTATGGTATCACCAGGTAAGTATGAAATCCAGCATATGAAAAAGAAATATTACTTATGTATAAAGTTTTGAAATTGTGACAGAATTTAAAATTGTTACTAGTTGTTATTTGAGGTGTTTTTTAAGATGGATTTTGGTGCTTGCTTCAGCAGCACATATATTAATATGAATTTCAGTCATAAAAGCCCTTTATTTATTTTAGGTTCAAATACCTCATCTATTGAACAGAAAACTGAAGAGCCTGACCTAAGATCTTGTCCAAAGTGCAATATTCAATTTAGTCTTTTGGATCCTTTGAAATACCACATGAAGGTAACAGCTTTTCTCAAATTCAATTTTTAAAAATACTTAAAAATCCCTGAAAAGACTAAAAATTGATATATAGAAAATAATGACTTGTCCAGATCATCAGATAATAAATCTTATATTACTGTCTTTCATATAGTAAAAAACTGATGTTCATGATTGTCTTCAGACAAATTGTTGTTGTCATTGTGATTTTTTGTTATGTTTTGTTATTGTGGTAATGGGTGTTGACTCCAGGGTCCCACACAAGCTAGGTAAGTGCTCTAGCATTAGGCTATATCTCCAGCCTATTTTTGATTTTTAGACAAGATCTCATTAAGTAGCTCAGGCTGAGCTCAAACTTAGAATCCTCCTGCCTCGGCCTCCCATGTAGCTGGAATTACAATAGACTACACACCCAGCCCAATTATGAATTTAAAAAAAAATTATATTCCTATACACAGTACAGTATATGCCTATCACATTCAATTTTAAATAAAAATAGTGTATTCAGAATATTTTATCTACTGAATCATGTCTTTTCAAGCTTCTGGTAATGTAGGCATTTCATTAAGTGTTTGGTCCTTCATATAACCTAAAACTTCCTTTTATTTTTTTGTTCATGGTGATGTTTGCATTTCATATTACTTGTTGAAAATCTTAGTTTTGCCTTTTATTTTTCCACCTCCAATGCAAAATAAACTAATGGAGCATTTCATTTAATGTGATAGTTTCAATCCAGAATATGTATGTATTTATAAATGAATTCTAGCTTTATATTAGTGTAGGAAGCTCTTGAAATTTGGTTTTAAATAACTCTCAAAGTACTAACTAAGGTGGGACTTACAAGACAGTTCTCTTAAAATTCAGATGTTACAGTATCCTATGGTGTCTGTGTAAACATAGTCTTACTCTTTGCATGCCTGCTGTAAATACCACGAAGTGGGGAAGGAAGCAAGAAAACAGGTAATGTAGATGATATAGAAAAGAAAGACTGAGAGGTGAGCAAAACAAAGGAACAACTTAGGAGAAGGTATTCTTTGCTGTTCCATCAATCAGCAAAATTTTATTGAAATTCAGCATTCTATGATGTGTCCATGGTGGTGCATGCTTGTGATTCCAGCACTTGAGAGGCCAAGGCAAGAGGATTGGACTGTGAGTTCAAGGCTAGTCTGGACTACATACATAGTGAAACCCTGTCTCCCAAAGAAAAAAAGGTGTAGGTTGTACTAAAATTCCAAATATAAATCTCTATTCTGGGCAAAGCTGTGTTGTTCTATCACCGTATCTACTTCCCTGAGTATGTTTGAGAATGGGAAATCCAAGTTTCACATTATCAATATTTTCTTTGATATTGTCCAATTCTATTTTGTAGTATGTCTTTAGGGTATAGCTGTACCTAAGCTTGTAATACCATTGTGAATGCATTCTTTTTTGTTTCATTGTTTAATGCTTTTTAGCCTGAATTTCATTTTGTTTAATACCAGGCTCATAGCCCTTGTTTCCATTTACCTATTACATTCTTTGTTTATGCCTTCGTTTCTAAATCCCTTCCAAATCACTTAGTTTTTTGAGTCTTTCTTTCACCAAAATTATTTTTGCTTTTGTATTCATATATGAAACTCTACTAGGAGTGGAGTTAGACACTTACATATTTGGATAGTAGAGATTTGAGAGGAAAGATTTAATTGTTTTTGGCTTTATCACAACTTTTTGTTATGCTTTCTTAAGACTTTCACTTGTTGTGGATATGTAGATTGGATTTTTAGGAAAGTTTTTTTCCATCACAACTTGTTTTATTATGTGGTCTTGTCCTTTTTTTTTCATTTCTTTTTTTTTTTGTTTTTTTCGTTTTTATCGGTGCCAGGGATAGAACTCACGACTGCCTGCTTGCAAGCAGGCGCTTATGCCGCTGAGCTAAATCCCCAACCCCTGTCTTGTCCCTTTTTAAAACCATTTGATTGAGGTATGATTGACATACCTCAGAAAGCACTAGTACTTCATATGTACAAGTCAGTATATTCAGAGATAAGTACACACATGTGAAAGCATTAAAATCTATGCCATAGACATATCCATTACCTTCAAAAGTTTCTACACATCCATGTATTATGTGTGTAATAACAATTATTTCTACTTTATTAGTAACTTTTTAAGTATCCAATATAGTATTTATTGTAATCCCAAATATTGGGTATAGTTATCCAAGTATCATAATCCCTTTTCTAGTTTTCCTCATAATCCAAAAAATTATATTTTTAATCCCATTGAGACCTTATTGAAATCTCAGCAAGTTAATTCTAATCTACCACCTCCAATGCAACCCATGACTGAACACCAAGACATGTTCAGAGTTAAGGGCAGCCAAGGAGTCCTAAGGCCAATCACCATGAAGATGTGTGGACAAAGGCCTGGATCCTAGGCCTCTCCCAGAATTTATTATCTTGTGAAGAAGTGGGTGGTTTGAGGATGAGTGACAGTGAGGATGGCAGGAGTTTACATGAGTAACTTGAGCTGGCTAATCAAGTAGGGAGAAAAGCATCTCTGCAAAATGCAGAGATAAGGATATGCAGAAGAATCAATTTGCATAATTTAATTAAGGTAGCAACTAAATTGTTTTAGGAGGCTGTTGCTTTGGTTTCTGATATGTAAACTTTTGTATCCTGGGGAGTCATACATAGCCTCTTTACCTTGAGGCTCATTCATACCCAATTGACATTCCTGGAGCTGACTGGCTCTACCATCCCACTGTGTTTGTATATTTTAGGGAGAGCACTATTCAGGAAAACAGAAGACTGTATGATGGCTTTAGAGATTGCATACCACTACCTCAGGCTATCCTTATTTGCAATGCTTAGAGCCAATTGAAGAGAAGAAAATACCATAGTAAGCTCTATACATATCAGTATAAGGAAATCAGTCTCTGTATAATTAAAGTTATAGCAGTTGTTCTGCATTCAAGGGGAGTCACTCAAGTTGTCTTCCACAGTATTAACTGCATGCTATGCTCCACAGTGGATATTTAGTGCTTATTCAGCTTAAATAACTGGAACTTTTGTACCTTTTGACTAATGTTGCTCCTTCTTCCACACCATTGCAGTCACCTTTCTAATTAGCATTATTAGTTTGAGTACTTTAGATTTCTCATATAAGATGCATTGTATATGTCTTAGTTATTTTTCTCCTATTGCTAAGACAAAATGCCCAAAGCCCAAAATTAAGGGAGGAAATGTTTATTTAGCTCACAGTATATGGAGGTTTCAGTCCATAATCAGCTGGCTCCAAGACAGGGTAGTTTGGCAGAGGGGCAGCTGTTAATGGTAGGCAGAAGACAGCAAAAGCAACAAGAGCAAAAGGGGGAAGGAAAATTTTTTTCCCTTCCCTTATATTGTATGTAGGCTTATGGGCTTTAGGGCAGATATAGCGATCAGACCACCAATCCTAGCACTGGACAATAAACCAATCAAAAACTCTACATTCAGCTGCCTTCAAAAAGCCTGCCCCACCCATGACCACATGGTATTTTCGGGTTGCATCCAGATGCAACCATAACAATACAGTATTTTTCCTTCCTTTAGGGGTATATAGTATCCCATATTATATATGAAACCACTTTTTCTATCCATGTATATGTAAATAGACATTTAGAATTGCTTTCATGCTTGAGTATGGTGAATAATGGTGTAGTGAATATAATTATCTTTCAGATCACGATTTCAGTTTTTTTGACTATGTAAGTGTCATGCTAGATCATATGGTGGTTCTATTTTTAATTTTTTTATGGAACTCTCATTTATTTTCCACAGTAGCTGCATCATTTTACATCCCATCAACAGAGTTCAGGGGGTTTTTTTACTCCACATCTTAGCAACATTTGTCTTTGGCTTTTTGATTTGGCTGTTGTAACAAGTATGAGGTGATGCCAGATTGTGGTTTTCATTTCTATTTCCCTGAAGATTATTGGTGTTGAATGCCTTTTAAAAATCATTTCTTTTTTTCTTTTTTCTTATTTTGCACTGGGGATTGAGTCCAGGGCCATTTCACTTTTTAAATTTTATTTTCTTAATTTTTTAAAATTTTGAGACAGTCTTGCTAAATTGTTCGGGCTGGACTTGAACTTACAATCCTCTTTCTTTAGGCCTCAGAGTACTGGGATTACAGGTGTACACCACCATATCTTTTTGAATGCCTTTTCACGTAGCTTTTCTAGAAATTCTAGAACTGAAAAGTGTGTACAAAGAATTTTTTGTTGAAAAAGAGCTCATATTATGAAAGCCTTTTACATTAGTATGAATTTATATTAGGTATTGATTTTATTCATAAGGTTGATGTTCCTGTCAGATATGTAAGCAAAGAGAAAACACTAATGTTTTTCAAAGCATTAAGGTAAATGACATTTCTTTCTTCGTAAGCCCCTTATCTTTTAGCACCTTGACCCTGGAGATTTTAAGACTGGCTGTGCTTAACATCTAATTCCAACCAGGCTTCGCAAAACCTATTACTGTATGTTGTTTGAGAGTTAAACATAATGGTGTAGAAAACTGTATTTCCCTTTAAACCATATCTTATAATAAATATGAAATATATGATTTTCATCCAAGAAACAAATTATTAGATATATACATCTGGAAAGCAAAAATTACAGTGACAAAGACATTAGACATATAGATATACCTGATTGTAAGGGTTTCAGTTTTGTTTTGAAGTTACTAAGATAATAAATATTTACTGTTGGAAGTTTTTAGAATATATAAGGAAAGAGGCCAACATTTTGGTGAATCTTCCCAGGTATACCACCAAGCATAGTTTTACATGATCCAACGTTAGTTGTAAACAGAATTTCTTTTTTTTTTTTTTTTTTTGAAAGAGTCTCACAAGTTTAGGCTGGCCTTGAACTCACTTTGTGGCCCAGACTGGCCTCATGAGAATTTTCCTGTCTCAGCCTTCCAAGTACTGGGTTACAGGCATGCATCACCATCCCTGGCTATTTAATTTTTTTGCTCTTTTTTGGGGGGGTGGGTTGGGCATTTAATTTTTAAGAGATATACATAAAGCTTTATTTTTCCTCTTTCAGCGTTGTTGTCCAGACATGTTAAATAACTTTCCAGGAACTATTAAAACAGAACTTTCATCTGCTGAAGATACAACTAATACTGGTTCGGAGAAAGAAAAATTGATCATGTTAGTTAGTGACTTTTATTATGGAAAGCATGGCGGAACCTTGCAGGAAGAACCGAAGACTTATACAACTTTTAAATGCTTCAGTTGCTTGAAAGTTCTTAAAAATAACATTAGGTATGTAAATAGTTACAGACATTTCTGAGTTCCATTCCTGTGACTAGCTTGTTAATTGAATTGGCCACTAAATGAGGAATTGTATATAGTGTGTACATTACAATATTTCGAACAAAAAAAAATGGTCAAAGGAAACCGACCATTTTGATGACTTTGCTTTTAGTTGCATAACTCTTACATGCAGTACTATAATGTATAACAGAACATAAAATGTTATGTATAACAAAACATAAAACAGCAAAAATTACAGTATTTTATACACAAGGTGTACTAAACCAAAAAAGACATTGAGGCTCTATAAACAAGATATACACAACTGTACCCCCCCCCCAAAAAATATTGGTTGTAAGTCTAAGAGGCAGACCACAGTTTTAAGACCAGTCATTAACCATTTAGGTCATTAAACAAGAGATATTTGTCTTTTATCTTTTTTTTTAATATGGTTTACTGTTTTGTTTTATTTTGTTTTTGGTACCAGTAATCGAACTCAATGACCTCGTGCTTGCCAGGCAGGTGCTTATGCCACTGAGCTAAATCCCCAGCCCCTTATATTTTTTAAGATACTACAATTTATGTCTTTGAATATTCCTTTGCCATCCCCAGACAAACAATTTTAATATGTTCTACTAAGAACAGAACAGGTTATTTCACTGAAAAACATTTTTCATTTTATATTTTAATAGTTTGAGTCTTGCATCTACCTAATTGTACTTTTTTCAGATAGCTTAAGAAGACAAAAATACTTTGAAGAAAATTTCTTCTTTTCCCTGTATTTATCATTGAGCTAGGATTTTTTTTTTTTTTGTCTTTTTCATTTTTACCGGTACCAGGGATCGAACTCACGACCGCCTGCTTGCAAGGCAGGTTGAGCTAGGATTTTTTGTGACTTGTTTTTATTTTTTAGTTGCTCTTGAATCATATTTTTTATATTACAAGAACTACTTTATCTAGTTTTACCTTCCGTTATCTTAATGTTCAGCATCTTCAATTCATATTTATAATTTTAACATACTTAACATGCATAAAAAGTGACCTTTTGCTGACCTTCTGAGAGAAGTTCAGGTTCTGTAAAATACGTCTGCTGTGATCTTACAACCATGTTTTTTAGGGGTTTTACTTTTATTTTTTGCTGTCTTGGAGATTAAACAAACCCAGGGCTTTCACACCGAGCTACATCCCGAGCGCTTTTTAAATTTAATTTTGATAGAAGTTCTCACTAAGTCTTTGAGTTGCCCAGGCTGGGCTCTATCTAAAAATTTTCCTGCCTCAGCCTCCAAGAGTGCTAAGATTACTTGTGTGTGCTATCACACCAAGCTCCTAGCCCTCCTTATTTTTTAAGACAAGGACTTAGTAAGTTGCCCAGGCACAACTAGAACTTTTTGACCATGTTGCCTCTGCCTCCTTGTGCTGAGGTCATAGATGTGTGCTACTGTACCTGGCACCTAAAACATTTTGCAATGCATGTTCCTAGTGAAATTTTAAATGCTTAAATTTAGGAAAGACTTAATTTTAGAAAATTAAATGCTGTGCACCGCAAACACTATAAAATTTAAGTCATTTTAAGTGAGATAGTAACAAAAGAAAATAACAAGATTCTTGTATTTTAGAAGTTCAGTGTGCTATCCATTGCACTACAGAGGCAGATAGTATATTTTTTTGAGATAAGGTCTCACTATGTAGTTTAGGCTGTCCTTGAACTCATATGTAGCCTAGGCTGGTCTCAAAATTTGCAGCGATCCTCTTGCCTCGACCTCTGAATGCTGGAATTACAGGTGTGCACCACAACCCCCAGCTGTAGGTAAGACCTATTGATGGGTATTTTTCACTGCTTATGTAGCCTGACATTTGTATAAGGGAAAGTTTTTTGTAAGAATTTTCAAATATTCGACATATGTACAATACCTGTGTGTGTGTGTGTGTGTGTGTGTGTGTGTGTGTGTGTAAGACCTTCAAAGTATCTCTCTCATGATACTTTTGATGGTAGACTTTCCTTTGATTATTTTATTTTGAAATACAAATAGACCTTCACATATAGGAAAGAAGACTGTTCTTTACTACAGTAAGTATTCAATTTAAAATAATGCTAAAGCATTGTAGCAGATGAGTGATATTTCATAACAGCTACATTAGTGGATTATTTGAAGTACATACTTTTGAGACAAGGTATTGCTATATTGTCTAAACTGACAAACTGCTGAGCTCAAATGATGCGCCTGCCTCATATTTCAGCCTGAATAAGTAGGACTGTGGGTATAAATTTGCCTCTGCCACGTGAAGTGCACACTTACTTTTACAAGGATGTTATTTTAAGTTGTAATCATATAACTGAATTTTTAAAATTTTAAGTTTAAGCCGGGCATGGTGGCACACTTCTATAATCCAAGCACTAAGGATCGCTACAAGTGTGAGACCAGCGTGGGCTACAAAGTGAGCCCAAGGCCAGCCTGAACTGCATAGCGAGACCCTGTCTCAAAAAGACAAGTAAAAAATAAAAATAAAATAAAATTTTAAGTTCAGATAATGTGAGGTTTTTCTGTGGTTATAAATCTGAATTTTTGCATCCATTGACAATCATTTATAGGTTCATGAACCACATGAAACACCACTTGGAACTTGAAAAGCAGAATAGTGAGAGCTGGGAAAGCCACACCACCTGTCAACACTGCTACCGGCAGTATCCCACACCCTTCCAGCTGCAGTGCCATATTGAGAGTACACACACTCCCCATGAGTTTTCTAGTAAGTGGCAATTTCATTGAAGTTTTGAATGTTACTGATTTTGATCATCTGTACTATGAGGAAACTTTAAACATTCTGTTGAAAAATTAGAATAAGCAATAGACTTGGTAATTTGAGGGCAAAATCAAAAACCAAATAACTCTTATGGACTTAAATAAAATTTGCTAGTAAAATTGAAATGTTCTTGAAAATCATTACTGGCAACTTTTGGCATAACTCAGTGCTTTGTGTGTAAGGCACTATACTTGAACACCCAGATCTATCATTTTCATATTTGAAATCAGTGACCTTGATTTACAGTGATAGTTAACACAATCTGCAAACTGGGAAGCTTGGGTTCAGGTCTAACCTTTTAATATAGTTGAGAGATCTCAGACAAGTGGCTTACTTTTTCATTGTTTCAGGTTCTTCTGAATAACAGATATAAAAATAATAGTAACTTGCTGAGTTATATTATGAGAATTAAAAAGCTAAATAATGTTCTTAGACCAGTGTTAGAGTCAACAGTGATATACTTATTGGAACCAACTTCACCAGTACTACTGCTGCCACTGATGTTATTACTTGTTGTGGAAGTACAAAATTCATCTTTTTTATATACATCTTTAAAATGATATAATGTGTTTTTTCTGCTTTCAGCTATTTGCAAAATCTGTGAATTATCATTTGAAACAGAGCATATTCTTTTACAACATATGAAGGACACTCATAAACCTGGTGAAATGCCCTATATTTGCCAGGTACATTAATGTTTCTTTTTATACTTAGACATTTGTTTGATTTTCATGTGCAATGAAATAGTAATGTTGTTTTGATGTTTTATCCATTTACATAAAATTAGTTACTATATTAAAATTTGAAGAGCCTCTTCACTAGTGAAAAGCACCTTGGTTTAACTTATGCATTGTATGCCGGAGTGGTGGGCTGGATTTGGCATATAGGCTATAGTTTGAAGACCTCTGTAATAGACAAAAAAATGTCCTCCTGGAGAAAGAGTGAGCTCATTATATAAGGAAACCTATAGACATGCCAGGGAAATGGAAAATGTTCTCAGTGAAAGAGGGCCCAATTGAGGCTGGGGATTTAGCTCAGCAGCATAAGCGCCTGCCTTGCAAGCAGGCAGTCAATCCCTGGTACTGATAAAAACAAAAAGACAAAAAAAAAAAAAAAAGAAAAAAGAAAGAGGGCCCAATTAAATCCTTTGTAACTAGTATTTCTCCAGAACTTGAAATGATGCCTAGCAATAAGAAAACAAGATAAAGATAAATTGACATTGCACTAATCTTTAAAATTTAAAGAAGAAAACACTGTGTTTTATATAGCAGGGAAAACTGTGTAGAACAAGAAATGGTAGAGCTTGAAAATTCAAGTGAAGATGGAGACGATAGATCTGAAACAAAGGAAATCTATGTTTTGGAATATATCCTTAAGCTCTCAAAGTTAATATTGGTTTCAAAGACTATCTTTATTACTTGTAGTAATAGAACTCGTAATTGATAAACAGCAGAAGAAAACAGTACAGAGTTTTTTTTTTTTTCTAAACAAATGACTCCTTCGGCCTGTAATCTCAGCATGAGATTACAAGGCAGGAGGATTGTGTTGATATCAGGGCCAGCCTGGCCTACATAGTGAGTTTGAGACCAGCCTAGGATACTTTGCAAGACTCTGCCACACAAAAAACAACTCATTTACTCATTTTTAATTTGATGAAATTTTATGTGTTATAAAATTTTGGGTTAAACTTTCTCTATATTTTTAGGTTTGCCAGTTTAGATCATCAACATTTTCTGATGTGGAAACTCATTTTAGAACATCGCATGAAAACACTAAGAACTTGCTGTGTCCATTTTGCCTCAAAGTTAGTAGAATGGCAACCCCTTACATGAATCATTACATGAAGCATCAGGTGAGATTTAGCAGTCTTGTTTATGATGTCTTAATGAAAAATGCACATACTTAGCAGATTGGTTACATTTGCTTGAACCGAAATCAAAATTACTCCAAATAATACAATAAATTTTCACTTTACACAAAATTACTTATAAAACTTCCACTTATTGGAATGTCCACTCTACAAGCTTTAATTTTGTGACTTGAACAATTATTTCTAAGATGGCAATATGTAATCCATTAACTAGTGATTTCCTACTGCGCATTTTTTTATTCTGTAAATCTGTATAACTTGTATCCCTTCACTGTTTTTTTTTTCTTTCTTTTCTTTTCTCCTTAAATAAAAATTAAAAAAAAAAAAAGAAAAAAAAAAGAAAAAAAAAAAAAAACTTCCACTTATTTTCTTTACTTTACTTGCTTTGTAATGATGCTGAAGGCCATAAGTAGTAAAAGTTCTGAAAGATAGCTAAAATAGGAGCCCAAGAGAAGAGCAAAAAGGAGCAAGTGAGTAGACTATTTTGGACTCTTAAGAATGGCAGGAATGGGAATGATTTTAAAGGTAGTTGTTAAGCACCAGGAAAAGGACATTTCAACTGAAGAAGCTAAAATTGATAACTTACAACCTTTTGTTTTCCTTTCTCTTCAGACTTTATCCCTACTTTCTAGCCCACATTTTGTTATGAGGAAGTTGTCTTCAGTGACCCAGGAAGGTCTCTTGAAACATCTGGTAACAAAAGAAATAGCAGTGACATTTACTACCAGATATGTGATCTATCCCAAAGAACTATGTCTAGGTCACAACTTGTTTCTTGCATGACTTTGGCCAGCTTTGCTATATAATTTCTAGGGTATCAGTATTAGTGCTTGTACCTTTCCCTCGAATTCTGATTTTATGTTTTCTGATTTTTTTTCTGAAACAGTTAGATGATCTTTTGGGCTGAAAATGTTAATTAGTGTTTGAAAGAGCAGCAGTACCTTTGCCAAAATCAGAAGTCAATGGATTTACTGAATCTGATTATGTAATCAAGTTTTGCCTCTTCAATGAGTAGCTCATTATATTTTCTTATTATTGATTGCATTGTCATGGTGATTTTATCCTGGTGCTAAGCTGTTCTTCCCAGTCATTAAGAAATCAACCTAGGGGGCTGGGGGATTTAGCTCAGCAGCATAAGCACCTGCCTTGCTAGTGTGTGGTCGTGAGTTCGACCCCGGTACCAATAAAAAGAAAAAGACCAAAAAAAAAAAAAAAAAGAAGGAAATCAGCCTAGGGCCAGGGATTTAGCTCAGTGGAATAAGTGCCTGCCTGGCAAGCATGAGGTCATGAGTTCTATCCCCGGCACCAAAAAAAAAGAAAAAAAGAAATCAACCTGTAGTTGTTAATTGGAAAGAATCACAAAAGCAGAATCTCCAGATGTATTCAGAATTAAGTGTGTGTTACCACTGGGATATTACTTATTTTTACTTTATTACATATTTTTCTTTATTAAATATACTTATTTTTCTTTATTACTTATACTTAATTTTCTTTAATAAAGGTGGACTACCTCATATACTTATTTTTCTTTATTAAATATACTTATTTTTCTTTATTTTTTATATATATAAGAAAATACACTTATTTTTCTTTATTAAAGGTGGACTACCTCACCTTAAGAAACTGGCAAAATCTTCGTATTCCAAGGTTTCCCCAACAGATGTTAGGCATTCCACCAGATATTAATAGGCATTCCCTCAAATTGTTCCTGATGAAAGAAATCTGATGTTTGGATATAGAGACTTTATGGGACATTCTTCCTTATTTTAAAAAATAGAGCTCTTTTAGACTTGTAGTATCTTATAAATGCTATCAATCTCTAAGCAGAAGATACAGCATATTGTGTTCCTCAGTCTTATTTAAGACATACCAAACCTTTTATTTATACAATATCTATAAACACTTCTTGAGAAATATAGTTTTGGAAACACTGTTCTTTAGGCTATTTCATCTTTTCGTCTTTGATTTTTTTGTTGTGTTATTTGTTTGTTTGTTTGTTTTTGATACCAGGAATCATAGCAACAACCCTGCTAGGCAGGTACTGTACCGCTGAGCTATATCCCCAGTTCTGGCCTTTGATTTTTAAAAGAATAAAATAAGACAGGACACAGCAGTACATCCCTGTAATCCTACACTAAAAGAGGCTGAAGCTGGAGTTCAGGATCAGCCTAGGCAAATTAGTGGCTCAGGGAGACTGTCTCAGAGTTAAAAAGGGGCTGAAGATATAGCTCATTATCAAGGTTCAATCTATACTACCACAAAAAAGAATGAAATATAAAGTATGAAAGAATGAAATATAAAGTGTCATTATGAGACTTTTAGCATAATTCTTTCCTCTATGCATTATTTTTTTTTTGTCTTTTTCATTTTTATCGGTACCAGGGATCGAACTCACGACTGCCTGCTTGCAAGGCAGGCACTTATGCTGCTGAGCTAAATCCCCAGCCCCCTCCTCTATGCATTATTAAGCTCCACAGGGTTATGGATCCTAGATATGGACAGAATGATACATACTTAGGTAAAAAGAGATACGTGGCTACACTATTCAGGCAGTGTCTCTAGTCGTTGTTCATATCCTAACTTGTATGTCTTAACTTGTCATGTATATTATTGCAGCAGATCTGAGTTGCTCAAATCTGGTGTATTTTCCAAAGAGCTTGCTTATATAGCTCTTGGAAATTGAGTTCTTAAACTATTTTAATAGATTAAAATCATTTTGTATGCCTGGATACTTGACGTACTGTACCAGTTTGCCTAGATAATTTACGTAAAAATACACTTACGTAGCTGGGCATGTTGACATGCACCAATAATACCAGCTACTTGGGAAGCCCGGACAGTAGGATTTCAAGTTTGATGCTAGGCTGGGTTACTTGAGACCCTTTTCAAGAAAAATCTAAAGGGCTGAGTATATTGCTCAGCAAGTAGTAGCTCTGGGTTCTATTGCCAGTAGTGGAAAGATTAAAATATGGTGACCATTGGATTTTCTTCTGGGAAGTCTGAAGACTTACCCACAAAAACCCTGGGCTTTAAGGCCCAAGAGTATGTTCCCATCAAAAAACACTTTACATATGTCGTAGCAGTTAGTTATGATAGGATTGATTGTGCCCTGTGTGTGAGAGAGTTCTCTGAAGCTGGTGCCTGGTATTGTCCAAAATCTATCCAGTGTACCCTGTCTTTATTTAATCCTCCTGCTCTGTATCCTTTCAGTGTTATAAACCTAGCTGTGAGGATATCAGCTGCTGATTCCTGTCAATCCTTGTACTGAATCATCAAACCTGGGAGTGAGTAGTCTTGGGGTGCACCCATGGTACATTGGTCTGAGTACCCATGGTACTCTTCCTCTGTTTTGGCAACTGTAACATACCACTACAGACAGTGTGGTTGAAACACAAATATGTATTTATGTTTCTATGGAGGCTGGGAAGTCCAGGATAAAGGCATTGGCAGATTTGGTGTTTAGTGAGGGCCTGCCTCCTGATTCATAAACATCTGTCTTCCCACTGTGTCCTCCCATGGAAGATGGGGCAGGAATGCTCAGTTCCTTTAAAAGGATACTGATCCCATTTATGAGGGCTCTATTTTTATGACCTAACTATCTTCCAGTAACCCCACCTCCCAATACTATCGAAGGTTAACATTATGACACATGAATCTGGATTAGACATAAACATTAAGTATTTTGTTGACATTCAGATTTTTTGGTAAATTTAGAGTAACTCAGAGCTAGGCAGGCAGTCATCAATAAAGAAAAAAAACTGATAAGAATTGCCAAGTATGGTGACACATTCCTGTGATCGGCACTCTGAGAAGCTGAGATAGGAGGATCACATGCAACTTGACCCATTTTAAAAGGTCAGTGCAAATTTGTAATAACTAGATCATGGAAACAACCTAAATGTAAAGATGTAGTATTTTTATACAATGGAGTGCTACTTAGCCATAAAGGAGGATAAACTGGAGACTTTTATAGATAATAAATGCAATTTGAGGCCATAGTCATAAGTGAAATAAATAAGACATGTAAGTATTGTCTCAGTGTGAGAAACTGGAAGAAACAACATGTATGTGTATTTATATATGTATATTTAAAAATGGTTAACATAGTAATACTACTGATTTCTCTGAGTTTACTGGAGAGAAAGATTTTTGCTGGTATTGTTCTGTTTAATGCAGATGTGTTGTGCTCTGGGTGGATGACAATGTGCAATGTGTGTACTGTAGTTGCCCCCTGATTGACATGTTTTGAAATTTTATTTTTTTTCTCTTTGAAATAAAATGGGCTTGAAAAAAGAGGTTAGCATATAGGTCCTGCCTTCAATCTGTAGTATCACACATACCAAAAAAAGAAAAGAAAAAGAAAAAAGTAACACACAAGGAAGGGTTATCAGACATCATCTGTCACGGTCTTTGCAATTTGCATAATTATTCACAACAGACTCAAAACCACAGCTGAGTAGGATCATAATCTTATAACAGAAATGACCTTATTAGTGCAATTTTATTTAGACCATAATTTATCTTTGTCTTTTCTTTAAAGACTTTTTTCCTGAAAAAATATTCTCATATGAATAATTTTAAAGCTAATAATCTAGCTTTTATTCTTTTAAGAAAAGATGGAAGACTTCAGATGTATTAAATATCTTCATGAGTGATAATATTTAGTTGCCATATGATAGACCCTAGTACTTTTATACACATTTTTTAATCTTTACAGCCACCTGTGAAGTAGGTAATGTAACTGTTTCCATTTCATAGATGTGAAAACAAAGCTTTACAGAGAGTAACTTTCATACCATCACATTCTTTAATAAATGGTACAGCCAAAAATTGATTTAGGCTCAAAGATTTTACCACAGATTCACATTCTACACTAGGTCTCAAGGGAGAAATCACATGTAGGTCAGCATTACCTGTGAAAATCCTCAAATCACCCAAATGATACAGTATGCTTATCAAAAAGTACAGACAAACTTTTCTTCAACTTTGTAACAAATCCACTGTTTCTTTGGTTAAAAATATGTTATCTTAACAGTGTACTGTATTATCAACATTCTTAGCACATTGCAAACACATATATATAAAAGAGATGTATAAGATTTGAGTCTAATTTAAGGAATGGTAGATCAATGTCTCTTTATCTCAGAGCATTGGACAAATGCTCCTTGAATGGAATGGCACACATTTTGAATTGGTTAAATTATGCCTGCTGTGCCCATCAGTTTCTTATTGTCGGCCTTATTATTTATTTAACAAATACTTGTTAAGCCTAATATATGCCAGACTTACAGGTATTGGAGATACAGAAGTGAGACAAGCAATTTGAGTTTTGGTAATAGGGGGAGAGACCAACTAATATCTGAATATATATGGGTGGCTGCTGGTAGTAAATACAGCTGGAAGAAAATACAGGTGGATAGAGAACTAAACTTAGTTGAAGAGGTGATGACTTTTTTTTTATATAAGGAAATCCAAGAAGCCCTCTCTAAACGTGGTAAGAAAGGAAGTCATGTGGCTGTGGGGGAGAAAAAGAGGCAGAGGGAAGAATAGGGAGTGAGATGAACATATATTCATACTCAGGGTGTTCAGAGAATACCAAGGTCATTGTGTTTGGAAGACAGTATACCAGGAAAACAAGTAGATGAGGTTGTAGTGATAGAAAGCAAACTAGATCGTGTAAGTCAGTGAGGATTCTGGAGTTAAGTTATGAAAAGCCACTGGAGAATTTAAGCATGAGAAAGCTCTTCAGTATTTCTAAGATCATTCTACCAGCCATGGCGATAATTGACTGTAGTAGGAATAAACGGTAGTAAGAGGGAAGACAGCAGACTGTTTCAAGAATCCACGTGAGTGGCCTTAGACTAGAATGGATGGTTGCAATGGTTGGAGATGATAAGTGGGTACAAGTGTGTTGCAAAGGTATCACTGATAAAGTTTTATTAATGGCTGATTGAGAGAAAGACAAGATTTCAGAGTAACCAAGATTTTTTTGTCCCAAGCAGCTATAAGACTGAAGATTCCAGGGCTGGGGATTTAGCTCAGTGATGTAAGCACGTGCCTGGCAAGTGCGAGATTGTGAGTTCGATCCCCGATATAAAAAATAAAAAAGAAAAAAGAATGAAGATTCCTGTATACTGAGATACTAGAAAACTGAAGAAGGAACAGAATTTTTTACCCTTACACACACACACACACACACACACTGTGTATGGGAGGAATTCTGGAATTCAGTTTTGTCCATGTTAATTTGAAATGCCTAATGAACAAGTAGAGATGTCAAGTAGACATTTATATGGCTACTATTGAAAGCCATGAAACTGGGTAACATAGTGATAGGTGGAGCAAAGATTTCTGGGAACCATACTCCAGGAACTTTTCTGTATTGATGCCATGTAGTCTGATCTTGCCTGAGTTTTCTCTTTTTATTCCCTTCTCTTTCGAGTATGTGTTATGTTGCCTGTACCTGTGATACAATCCAATGTACCACACTTCTAAAGTAGTCTGAAAATGAAACTAAAACAGTGAAACAAATTTTATTTACATATTGTTTTAAACTTTATAGAGAATTTATTCATCACATGATAACTGCTCTAGTAACTCCGCCCAGTACTTTCTTACATGTCACCTTATTTTGATTTTACAAATAAGTGATTTTCTTATAGAGACACAGCTTTAGAGAAAACATGTTTTAAGCTGGGCATGGTGGTGCATGTCTGTAATCCCAGCACTCAGAAGGCTGAGGCAGGAGGATTATCTTGAATTCAAGACCAGCCTGAATTACATAGTGAGACCCTGTCTCAAAAAATACATGTTTTAAATTTACATATAAATATAAAATATTTTTTCATGTTTTTCTTTAAAATATTTTAAGTAATGCAAGCTTACATGTAAAGATTCCAATTAATTACAAGTAAAAAGTATGCTATGAGTAGTGATAAATTTTTCTTGGTAAAATATAATAGGCCTACACTTGAGGATGAATTAAATCAAGGAATTCTCAAACAGTAGATCAGAAACTTTATACTTCCTTATTCATGCTACACAGTATTGTACCCTTCTAACCCATGTGTGTCTCCTTAAACTAAATAAATCGGACAATCACCCTTTTAATTGTACTCCTCACATTTGAAGTACTCAGTCACTACATATGGCTGGTAAACATCATAATAGACAATGTGGCTATAGAATACTGTCACTGTAGAACATCCTATCTGATAGAAATGCCTTACTATAATGACAGTTTTTCTATTTATTTTACCAACTTGTGAGTCAAACTGAAATAGCAAAAGCTATAAATAATTTACTTTTTCTAAGGTTAAAAGCTTAATATAATTCATTTTCACTGTATAATGTATTTCAGTAGTTTATTACTTTAAATTTATAATTAAAAGAACTTTTATACAACTAGACAGGACTTTTTCCCACTAGGTCCTAATTGATAATAATTTTTATGTTGAATGCTTAAAGGGTAACAAATACTTTTAAGACACAAATACTAATGCAGCGAGTGCTTTTAAAATGTAAAATAATATCTGGGTGTATTGGCACATACCTGTTATCTCAGTTCCTCAGGAGGCTTAGGCAAGATCACAAATTCTAGGCTAGCCTGGGCAACTTAACAAGAGCCTACCTCAGTTGAGGTTGTTTAAAAAAGGGAGAGTAAGAGAGGTGAGAGAGCTGGAGATGTAGTTCAGTGGTGGAGTGCTTACTTGGCATACAAGAGGTCCTGAGTTCAATTCCCAGTATAGCAAAAAATAAAATTATGACTGGAGGTTTAGCCTATTGGTAGCATAAGGCTCTTGTTCAATCCCCAGCATAAAAAGTATATTTTAGCATTATTTATGATAAGAAATGCTTAAAATACTAGTTTTTAAATTACTTAGATATTAGAACTAAGAGGAATTTCAGGTCCCAGGATTTATGGTGGTTAAAGTTATTACTTCTAATATTTTCTATAAACAGAAAAAGGGAATTCATCGTTGTTCAAAATGCAGATTGCAATTTTTGACCTGCAAAGAGAAAACAGATCACAAAACACAACATCGTACCTTTGTGAAGCCTAAAGAACTAGAAGGATTGCCTTCTGGAACAAAAGTAAGTATTAACTATGTTCTATTTTAATATTTTTATAATACAAATAAACTGCCTCATTTCATTTAATGAATGTAATATGAAAAAGTGACTTTTGATTAACATTTTAATTTTAGGTTTTATTATTCTTATTCATGGAAAGAAAAACTTCTGGGGCTGGGGGTGTGGCTCAATGGTAGAACTCTGCCTTGCATGCACAAGGCCCAGAGTCCAATCAATCTCCAGCACCGCCAAAAAATAAAAGAAAACAAAAAGCTTCCTCCACTATAGTGGAAGAGTGCCATTTGAAAAAAAGAAAGAAAGAAAAACTTTTAACCATTGTTGTGTTTGTCTGTTTATGTGTTTATGTTTATTGTATAACGCTGAAGATTAACCCCAGGGCCTTTACACTGAGCTATATCCTCAATTTTATTTTTTACTTTTTCTCTCTTTTGTTTCCTCTTTTAAAAAAATTCTAATTCACCCTACCATAGACATTAATTTAGTCTTTCATTGTCTTTCCATTTTCTGTAATTTCCAACTTATACCTGTATTTAATACTGCTTAAATCTACTAAACACCTAAATTGATTACTTTCCTAAATCTAAGGATTATATAGTTTTAGTATAAATATGTATCACATATTTTCATAACAATTTGACAAAACCAAATAAGCATGTTTCGTTTTAATTCCATGCTCCTTCCACAGTTTATAAAATCTGATTTAATGATCAGAAACCTGGTTGTTACTCTTTAGGTACAGCAATCTTCCTTTTGAACTGCCACTCACTTTTTGTATAACAAGCAATAGAAAAACCAAAGAAATCTTGCTAATCTTCTTTGACAGTATAAAATGTGGACCCTTTTTAAAAATGAAACAAATACATCCAAAACTCAGTGCATTCAAGTGAGTTGAGTTCCTGAAGGTAAGTCAACTTGGAAGGCTACAGTTCAGTCTCTTAGCTACACTGCCACTGCCACTGCACAAAACATCTTTCAACTTCCTTTGGGATTGCCCTCAAAGCCAGGTGTGTACTTTCTGTATTAGCTCAAATTAGACTTAATTTTTGAGAACTCTCTCTTGGTGCCAAATATTGGCATTGCTGCTTTTTATAAAACAATATATTCTTAAATTAACTTTGAATGCAATTCCAGAAGAGGAAACCCGTGAGTTTTTGGGTGATGATAGTTTGCTGGCATTAGTAAACAACCTTCCAGCATGATCACTTTGCAGGGTAACACTCATTTGGCTGTCTATATTCTAGCATATTTGTTTATAGTGACATTATTCTTTTTAAAAAGAATATCATTCTTAAAAATTCTTTTTCCTTTAAAGCATCACTGTCTTAAGCGTTTTGATAGAAAGTAGTTCTTCTTTATCAATAAAGACTACTTTAAACAAATCTTGAAAACAGATTATTTAATTACAAGCCTTTTAATCATTAACTGAAGATAAAATAATTTGAAATTGCTAAGATACTAAAAAACAAAACAACCTCAAATATAAACAAACACAGCAAGAACCAAACTATAATTTCTGAGCTCTACTGTTTGTTTTGTGCTGAGTACATTTTAATTTCAAGGCGTATTTTTCTCTTTTTTAACATAATTATTGAAAAGCAACTATTCTTCCACTTAATGGTAACAAACGGAAACAAAACACATCTGTAACGAAAGAATTAAAATATAAAATAGTGATAAGTCTCACGACAAACTTTACAAGACCTATATACAGAAAACTAGAAAACATTACAGAAAAATTCAAAATTTCAAGATACATTTTAAGGTGAAACACTTCAAGATAACAATTCTCTTTTTTTTTTTTTTTTTGTATTTTTCATTTTTATCGGTACCGGGGATCGCTTGCAAGGCAGGTGCTTATGCCACTGAGCTAAATCCCCAGCCCCCAAGATAACAATTTTCTATGAAAATACAAAAGACTTTAAGTCATTAACACAATTTGGAAAAGGAAGAAAAACTTGTGAAGGCTAAAATGTTTCCAGAATTAATGTACATTTCTAATATGTACTCTTTCAGCTTCTCACACTAAAGAGACAATGCAATGCTTGCACATATAACTGATTTATTTCACTTATAAGTATGGGCTAAACTTCCATGCATTTACTGATAAGAGTCTTCAATTTTTCCTTTTTTGTTGGTGAACTCCGTTGTATTTAAAAAAACAGCTTTTTTAATCCATTCCTTGGTTGATGGGCATTTGTGTTTCCAAAATTTTGCTGTTACAAATCGTGCTGCTGTAAACATGAATGCACATATATCACTGTGATATGATGTTTTTAATTTTTCTAGGAAAATACCCAAAAGAGGAGGAGCTGGGTAAATTGGACCTCTAATCCTAATTTTTCTTTTTCTTTTTTCTTTCTTTTTTGTACTGGGAATCAAACTCCATGACCTCGTGCTTGCCAGGCAGGTGCCATGCCACTGAGCTACATCCCCAGCTAATCCTAAGTTTTTGAGAAACCTCCACACTGATTTCCACAGTGGTTGCATCAGTCTACACTTCCACCAGCAGTGGAGAACTGTTCCTTTTTCCCCACAGCCCCTCCAGCATTTGTTGCTAGTTGATTTCTTTATAAGACCCATTTTTCTGGGATAAGGTAGAATCTCAGTGTTGTTTTAATTTGCATTTCTCAGTGGCCAGTGATAGTGAACATAGCTTCATGTATTTGTTTACTGTTTGTATTTCTTCATTTGAGAAGTGTGTATTCATCTCTGATGCCCATTTTTGCATTAGATCTCTAAATTTGGGAGGGCTGAATTAAGTTCTTATATGTACTAGTTAGTAATCCTTTGTCTGTGGGACACTGGCAAGTATTTTTTCCCAGGTTGTACTTTGTCTCCTGACTATGTTGGTGGTTTCTCTTGCTGTGCAAAACTTTTTAATAAGATGAAATCCTAGTTGTTGATTCTTTATGATGGTTCCTGTGTGATCAGGATTTTATTTATAGTCTCTGCCTATGCCAGTGTCTTCAAGAGTTTTACCAATTCTGTCTTTCAGCAGATTTAATGTTTCTGTTTTAATCTTTAAATATGTAATCCATTTCAAATTTAATTTAGTGCAAAGTGAAAGATATAGGTCCAATTTTAATCTGCAGCAATGCAAAGCAATTTTTTTCCAGCACCATTTATTAAAAAGATCATCCTTCCAGTGAATATGTTTGGCCCCTTTGTCAAAGATAAGGTAACTGAGTATGTCTGGATTGTTTCTGCATCTTTTAATCTGTTCCTTTGATCCTCATGTCTGTTTTTTCCCCCAGTACCATGCTGTTTTTATCACAGTAACTTTATAGTATAATTTAAGTCTGGAATTGTAATACACGCTGCCTTCCCTTTGTTACCCAGAATTTTCTCTGCTATTCTAGATCTCTTTTGATTTTAAATGAATTTAAGGATTATTGACTCTAATTCTGTGAAATATGCTGTTAAAATTTTGATCAGAATTGTATTGAATCTGTATAATAGTTTTGGAAGTACATCAATTTTTACTGAATTTTTCTTCCTGCCCAAGAGCAAGGGATATCTTTCCATTTTCTGATATCTTCTTCAATCTCCTTTTTCAGAGTACTATAGTTTTCAATGTAGAGGTCTTTTGCATCCTTTTTTTAGATTAAATCCTAGGTATTTGATTTTTGGGGTGCTATTTTGAAAGGTGTTGTTTCCCTAATTTCTCTCTGTTTTTTATTCATGTACAAGAAAGCTATTGATTTTTGAGTGTTTATTCTGTATCCAGCTATACTACTGAATATGCTTATTAAATCTAGCAGTCTTTTTTTGGGTGGGTACCAGGGATTGAACTCACAACCTGATGTTTTCCAAGTAGGCACTTACTCTGCTGAGCTAAACCCCCGGCAAATCTAACAGTCTTTTAGTGGAGTTTTGGAGGGTCTTCCATGTAGAGTATTAGGTCTTCTGCAAATAATAATTTATCTTCTTTCTTTCCTGTCTTTATTCCATGTATTTCTTTCTCTTGTCTAGTTGCTCTAGCTAAGGTTTATTATGTTGAATAAAAGTGAAGACAGTGAACATCCTTGTCTTGTTCCTGATTTAAAGTGATAGCTTTCAGGTTTTTGTCCATTTAGTATAATACTGGCTGTTGGTTTGTCATAGGTAGCCTTTATCAGATTTAGATAGAGATCGTTTATTCCAATTTTCTGTAGGGGTTTCATCATGAATGGGTGCTGGACTCTGTCAGAAGCTTTTCCTGCATTTATAGACCTGATCATATGGTTTTTGTCCTTGATCCTATTAAAATGGTATATTCATTGATTTACATATGTTGAAACATTCCTGAATTTCTGGGATGAATCCATCTTGGTCGTGGTGTATGATCTTAATGATTTGCTGAATTCTGTTTGCTAGTGTCTTATTGAGGATTTTTCCATCTATTATTCATTCGAGAGATTGGTCTATAGTTCTTTTAGTTGAATCCTCTGGTTTTGGTATCATGGTAATGCTTGCTTCTAAGAGTGCATTTGGGAGTATTGCTTCCCTTTCAATTTCATTGAAGAGTTTAAAAAGTAGTGGTATTAGATCTTCTCTAAATTTCTTGTAGAATTTAGCAATGAATCCATTAGGGCCTGGGATTTTCTTTGTTGGTAAGATTTTAATTGCATCTTCTATTTCATTGATTGATACTGATTTATTTAGGATTTTTATATCATCTTGATTCAGCTTTGGTAATTCATATGTCTAGGAATCTGTCCATTTCTTTAGCATTTTCTGTCTTACTAGAATCGAAGTTCTCAAAGTAGATATAGGAGATCTGGATTTCTGCAAAGTCTGTTGTGATTTTACCCTTTTTATTCCTAATTGCATAAATTTGAGTCTTTCCCTTTTGTAGTAAGGTTGGCTAAGAATTTGTCAATTTTATGTAAATTTTGGAAGAACCAACTTTTCAATTCATTAATTCTTTGTATTGTTTTCTTAGTCTCCAATGCATTAATTTCGACTCTGATCTTTATAATTTCCTCCCTCCTACTAGCTTTAGGCTTGGCCTGTCCATT